AATAGAGAACAGGCTGACAGTGACCAGAGGGGAGAGGAGAGGGAATTTCACAGGAAAAGGGGAAGGGTTTGCAGGAACAAATATAAAGGACACATGGACAAAAATAAGAGGCGGGGGTGGAAACAGGAGGGAGGTGGGGAGGGCTGGGGGATGGGCTGGGATGGAAGTAAAAGGCAGAAAACTGTACTTGAACAACAATTTAAAAAAGTTTTTTTTCTGTCTCCATCAGGAAATCAAAAACACCAAAAAAGGATTTCCGATATGTATTTCTCTTATAATAGTTATATTAGTTTATTATTTGTTTGCGTTATTAAAATTTAGTTACAATCCAAGTTTTATAAAGATATTAGCTTAAAATAAGTCAAAATTAACTGTTCACAAAGGGAATGTTGGTAATCTTGGATATTTTATGTAACTCTAATACCTTTTGGTATTTTCCACAATCTTTACTGTATAATTTTACCATGTTTAAAATTCTGAGCAGGGGACTTCTTCCCACTGGAACTTGTAATTCTATAATAAAGACATTAAATAAGCACTGAAAGGTCAAGCTAAAGTTTTCCATGCACATATAGTACTCCTGTAAAAAGTTATTCGATTTTTTAAAAAATTTTCTAGCTACAGCAGCACTTTATATGGCCCAATAGTGCCACCTTGTGGCCTACCTGGGCTTCAAGTGCACCTTGAGCATCCAGTACAGGTAGGTATAAAGCAAGAGCGCCACCAAAGTCTCTCTTTAAATTCAGTTACTTATGATAATTCCCACTCATTCTGATTCTGTGAAAAGTCAGAGTTAGGATGAAGTTCAACCTTCCTTTAAAAAATGTTCTCCAAGCAATTAAGTAGCATGAATATGATTCTAGGCCTATTCCAAAATCTAACCTTATTGAACCCTCCTTAGCAGATTTCATTTACACAGAATTAAAGTGCTACAAGAATGGCCTTCTTGTGTATTCATTTATTCAGTGTTTCTTAAAAATATAGAAACTACAACTTTTGTAAATTATTCCTATTTTGTAAATAGTCCACAAAATTTAAACCAGACTTCACCTGAAGTAGTTTGAAGGCACAAGATTGTGCTTCGGAGAAACTTAAGATGTTTCTGTGAAACTCAGGAGCTGGAATGGTCATCTTGGATTGCCTCACCCGGTCTCCTTACTTTATGGATAAGGATACTGAGCCTTGGAGAGGCTGTAACTTATATGTTACTATACACACTACTCCTCACCTGCAAGGTTGTAGCCATATTCATGATTCATGGTAGAAAAATAAGTTACAGCACCAATGTAACAGTTTATTGTTCATAGTTCTATTATAATTTGTCACTTTCCACACCCTAAACTATGTGTTAGATTGGGTGTCAGCACATACAGCCTTTTAAAATAGCACATTTACATCCAGTCACAAAAGAACCACTACATGGGGCGTTAGAAATTTCCTCTTTCTCCCCACTGAAAATAAGAATTAAGGATGAGACCCCTGGTAGGAAGCGAGTAAAGAGTCTAAGAGAGCTGAGGAGTGTCTGGGGCTTTAAAGAGGGCCTGCGGTCTTTTCCCGCTCTCGCTCCTTTAGACTGGGGTAACCTATTGGGGAGGCATCTCTGACGCCCAGGAATAACAAAATAGGCGTTAGTTACATGCTTAGAAATGGCTCTAGATTCAAGAAAGACACGTGAGGATTTTTTCCCCCTAGGTTTTACAGCCCAGCTTAAGAGGATAAAAATAACTAGAAGATTTCAGGCAGAAGTTGTATTTCTGGGCTGGAGCTTTCCTCATGCTGCCACTCAGGAGCCTGACATGTGGGGCAAGAAGTGGGGAATGCCGATATTCTAGAGCAGAGCTGAGTCAGCAATCCTGGTGGCTTCTTAAGGACAATAACTCTGATGGGAGGGGCCATGAATTACAAGAACCCTCCTTCTGACCGAGACCGGCACCCACACAGCCTCTCCTATGAACATGGCAGATCTGCAACCTGGCTTGGTTCACATCAGGTACTCAAGAGTTTGAGCAGATCTTCTAGGCATGGGAATAAGGGCTGGCAAATTCCTAATGAAACTATTTTTACTGACCTACCAGGTCACTGTGACCAACACAGAAAAGAGTGGTTAGTGACTAAGGATCTCAAGTTTTAACAGCCACATAGCTCTCCCAGATTTGCTGTTTTCCAGGAAACAGCTTCTCAAGGTTTTGGGTTTCTCTTAACATAGTCAAAATTGCTTGCTAATTTTAGCAAATGCAAACCTCGTTTTCTTTCTGCTCCTTATTTTTCAATCTCTCAAAACTATTTAATGCAGCCATGTGCCACTTACGATGGGGCTGTGTTCTGAGAAACGCATCATTAGGCACCATTGCATCAATGCATCATTGTGCAAATATCCCAGAGCACACTTACACAAACCTAGGTGGTACAGCCCATTACACACCCAGGTTGTATGGTACAGTCGATTGTTCCTAGGTTACAAGCCGGTATGGCACATACAACATGAGATTAAATAAAAAACGAGAGAAAATGAAATCAAGAGACATGATAAACACCAGATGTATGAGGCCACTGCCAGCGTAACTGTTTTATAGCAAACTTTTATAGGTATAGTAATACTGTAAAATAACAATAAAAAGTATAGTAAATACATAAACGAGTAACAGTCCTTCATTATCAACTATTATGTACTGCATGTAACTGCATGTGCTGCACTTCGGTGTGACTGGCAGTGCGGCAGGATTACGCCTGCATCACCGCAAACACACTGACAATGCACTGCACTCTGATGCTGTGACAGCCGGCTATGGCGGCACTAGGCAACCGAGGGATTTTTCAGGGCGACCATAATGTTATGTAACCACCGTCATACATGAGGTCTGTCATTGATCAAAATGTTGCTATGCGGTGCCTGCCTGTATTTTGTCATTTGTTCTATGACAAACACCAAGGAAATTTGGAATAATATGGTAAATGTCTAAATCTAAAACATTTTTTTTTCTAGATGACCTGTCAATAGGGGTATGATGTATTATAAAACTGTTAGAAAGAATGGGGATTTTTTTTAAGTTTGAATAATTGTGACTCTGAACTTTTGTTCTTGTACTCAAGAAAACCATACTCAGGCAAAAATAATTATGATAGAAAAGCTTCTCTTTAAAGTGCTATCAAGCCCTGGCCTGTTAGCTCAGTTGGTTGGAGAATCGTCCCACTCTGCCAAGGTCCCACTATGCCAAGGTTGCGGGTTTGATCTCCAGTCAGGGCACATACGAGTACAAGAAGCAGCCGATGAATGCATGAGTAAGTGGAACCACAAATTGGTGTTCTGTTCTCTCTCTCTCCTCCTTCCTCTCTCTCTCTCTCAAATCGATAAGTAAAATAAAATAAAATAAAATGCTACCAAAAGATAATGACTTCACTGTCTTCAAACAATAGATAGGAGAATAAATTTCTTATATTTGGATATATGAAACAAATTACACTATCGAAATTCACAAGCTTTGGATTTGGGAAAATGATCTAGGATTATGAAATGTTTAGCATCTTATAAACAGCAGAAAAAGTATAGGAACAGAGACAAAAGCAAATTAAAATTGACCAATGATATTTTAACACATCATCCTCAGTGATACTAATGCAAATACATCTAAAATACTTTTACCAAACACACTGCTTTTTCATACCACTTCCTTCCAGTCTTCTCTGGCCCAAATTATAGCTCTTTATTACATACTATTGGATGGTTTCATGTATGTAACTTATCACTTAAAGAAAGATTAACCCAAGAGTTCCTCAAACTTCTCCCTGTCAAATACCTGTACTTCCACTCGCCTCCAGTCCCCTCACTTGGATTTTGTCCTCTGGGGCGTGTCTCCGCCACCCAGTCTTAACCCACAACTCCCCGTGCTGACAGCCACCTCGGATCCTCCACCTGTTCCATGCCCTCACACCTTGTGAAATGTCTGCTATTTCCATCTCATGACCTCTCCTTGAGCCCCCTTTTGGCTACAGCAAGCAGAAAGAAACCTGTCCGCACAACTTTCCCTAACTTTCTCCAGCCAGCCTTCTGGTTCCTTCCAATGCTCTTAAGGCAGATCACTCCCCGTTCCACATCCATCAAGGAAGAAGACGCCTTCCCAACCCAGAGGACCAGGACACATAAAAGCTAGGACAATGAGCGTAAGTATACACCATCAGAGAGGAAGGCCTGAGGGGACTAAGGTTTGGAGGAAAGAATAAAAACTTCTAGAAGGAAATGAGAATTAGATCAAATCTCAGTGTCAGGTTTCTGCCAACCCAAAGACACCACTCTCCCCCCAATCTAGTTAAGGTTGCAGCTAGGAAAGACAACCAGATGGATGAGCATAAGCTATACATAGTGAAGGCAGACTTAAAGACTTGAACCAAGAGATCTGTGCTCTGTGAGTTTACCAGGAACTAGTCTTTGAGGACTTAATACCAAAGATTTGTATCTCAGCTCCTGACTCCGCCACTTTTTAGGGTACAATCTCGAGAAGGCATCCTCTAGGTGTCTCAGTCTCCTCATTTGAAAAACCGGGATAATAATATCAGCCCTATCTACTTCAAAGTGTTTTTATACAGAAGAACTTTGAAAATGATAATGCAATAAACAAATATAATATGCTAGATTTTTTTTTTTGCTTAGTTTCTGAGTAAAAATATCTCTTAAAAAAGTTCAGCCTGAATTAAGGGTAAAGGATTTCCACATCGATGATAAGGGTACATCACTGAACATCAGTAAAATGACTTCAGCCCTCAGGGGGTCAGGGGCAATCATGAGAGGAACTCTTAAGAGTTTGGGGCTCCGCAAGGGCAAGGCAAGCAAGCAGGGAACTCCCAAGAGGTAGTAATATATAGTAATACTATGTAATATTACTATATATTTCAGTACTATATACGTTAGCACATGAGTACACAGGGCAGTTCTATAAGCAGTCCCATCTGTGTGTCTTGCCTTCACCTTGACATCACATCTAAAGCCCAATGCCCCACACACTCACCACAACAAAGACAGTGCTCCAAGTCTCTGACAACGGTACTAATAGGTCTCTAGCAGCCCAGGCTTCTAGTCATCATCCTCGATGCCTTTTTCTCTCCTGATTCCAAATCAGACACAAAGTTCTGTTAACTCTTCACTCTTCGCAGTCTCCCAAATTCTGTTTGCTTTGTACTCTCACTGCCTCTACTCTTAATTCTGGCTCTGACACACAACCACATACATGAACTTTTCCACTGTCTTTCTAATTGGTCTCTCAGTCTCATTCTCACCAGTTACCTCCATTCCGTGCTTGTGGAACATCAAGTTCAAGCTAAGAAACATTTTTAGTAGCTCCAAAGGTCCGAGGATGACTCCTTCCTGAGCCTACTATAATAAACTCCTAACCATTTTCCATTCCACTTTTACCCCTGTACAATTAATTTCTCCACACAGAAAAAAAAATCATTCAAAAACATAAATCACATTTCATTCCCTTGACTTAAATAAGTAAATGGCAACCCAATGCATGTAAAAATAACATTCAAAATCCTTGCCATAGTCTATAAAACCCAAATGACGTTGCTCCTGCCTATGCAATCCCATCTTTAACCATCTGTGCTTCCTGTTCTCTATACTCTAGCCCCACACGCCTCCTTCAAGTTCCCTTTAGCTCTGCCCTGCCTCAGGGTCATCACGCTTACTCTTCCTTCCCCTGCAATGTATTTCCTGGCTAGATCTTGACTCAACCGGCTCATTCCCAGCACTCAGGTCTCAGCTCAAATGTATGTATCCCCACAAGTTACTTCTCACGTCGTCCTGTTTACTTACCCCATCTAGAATTTTCTTGTTTACTGTATACCCCCCTGTTTGAATGTTGCTCTCTGAGGAGAGGATCTTGTTTGTCTTGTTCAACAAAACCCACCGTGTCTAGTAGCATCTATTGCATACTAAGTGCTCAATCTATACTTTTTACTTTTTAGTTAAATGAATGCATGGTCCAAATGTAAAGTATGCATTCAAGGAACTCTTCCAATGGAGCCTGGAAATTGGTCTTAATGCCTAAAAAGTAACAGTAGTCATGAAGACACTCATTGCTGTTGGCCAAAGACTATAACTAGACAAAAATATATGGCCTAAAATGGGACACCAATAAAACTGATACCACACTTAAAGAGAAATCATGACCATATATATGTCTACTTCTAGAGTGTCTTTTAAGGTCTGAGAAGTAGAAATTATTTAGAAACAATAAACCAACATTCATTAACTCCTTCCACAGCAGGCACATACACTTGACAGAAATACAATATTAAAGCAAAATGATAGAATGAGCATTTCAACAGTTATGTCATATAATACAGAAATATTAGTGTTAACACTGGTTTTTTTTCAAATTCAAAATTCATGTTTTAACAAGTAAAGTGAAATGTACAATGCATCTCTAATTTAAAATTAGTAATATTTCAGAGCATCAATAAAAATATAAACTTATAAAAATGTGTTAAGTATACACTGTCATTCTAATATAAATTAGTAGAAAAATAAATATTATATAAAAATAAAGAAAATTGAAATAATCACAAAAAATTAAAAATAAATTTGATTTTTTTCCAGAGAACATTGTAAATGAGTTGTTAGCATGTTTTTGGCAAATTTTTCCAGAGGCTAAATAATCTCTCTATATTAACTAGAGGCAACATAATGGTAATGTAGTTGCCAACTCCATCTTCAAATCACTTCGTCTCTTCTTTGAGATCTCTATCCTTTTAATTATTTCTTTATTTTTGCAGAAACTGAAACCTTATTGAGCTAGCTTGTGTCAAAGAAAACATTTCCCATTTCTTAATCTCTTAATTTCATCGAGGATACCTGAATCAATTTCAGCACTGTTCATTTCTTATTTTGCTTATTTGGAAAGTCTCCAAACTAGTTAGAATAATTTTTATAATATAAAATTTGCTTTGACACTTTTCTTCCTTCTTTTGAAGTCATGGAAATACAGAATACTTTTTCAAAACAGATGCACCATTCATTGACTTGGAAAGTTGTAATAGAACATATAGTTCCCTTGCTATGTCCCAAGACATAAATACTTAAGATTTTTTTTAAGTAGCCAAAAATTCCACAAAGATATATCACAAAAAATACTTTAAAATAGCATCAAAGACTAGAACACCACAATGTTGAGAACCAACAGTGCGGTTATTAATGCTAGGTACATTACATTTAAAATGTAAAGTTGTATGTGGTTGTAGCCACTGTACCAGACAACAGGGCTCTAACAGATATCAATTATCTATTTTTGTGTGTCTGTTTCTGGCTTTCTATTCTGTTCTGGTAATCTGTGGGATATGCATGTGCCAATACCACACTGCCTTAATTACGCTGGCTTCACAACAGTACTTGATACCATGTATGGCAAGGCTCCCAATCTCGTTCTTCAGAATCAATGTAACAATTGGTTGTCATTTTCTATTCCATCTGAGTGTTAGGATTCCTTTGTCATACATCACAGAAATCTTACTGAAATTTTTGTTTACTACACTGAGTTATCCCATCCTTGAACATTGTATATCTGAGTATTCTTTGCTATCTTTTAATAAATTTGTATAATTTTTTCCATGAAGGTCTTGTACATATTTTATAACTTTTTAAATAAATTTCTGCTTTTATTTCTGCTATGATTGGAGTCTCTTTTGTTACAGTTTTAACTCAGTTATTACTAATACTAGGAATGAAATTAATGCATGTGTGTTGACTCACATCAGCAACCTTATTGAACTCTAATTGTAGTCATACACCTATGGTGTATTTGCATTTTTGCATTTGCATTCTTTTGCATTTTGTGTATTTAATCATATCACTTACATAAGTACATTGTGGCAGTTGAAAAATATGCCCACACATTCTTTGATACACCTCCCTTGAGGAGGTGAAGTTTAAATCTCCTCCCCTTGAATGGATTCACTAATTCACTTCTATCAAATAGAATACGGTTGAAGTGGCTTCCAAGATCGGGCAATAAAAAACAGTCAAGCCTCCTCTTTGCTCTCTCATAGACGGTTCACACTGAAGAAAGCCAGCTGCCACATCCTCAGGACACCCAGGCAGTAATACAGGGAAATCAGTTCAAGCTACAGATCAAGTTAATAAAAACAACAGCAACAGGCCTACAAGGTGGCTCAGCGGGTTGGAGCATTGTCCCCTAGACCAAAGGGTTAGGGGCTGGATTCCTGGTCAGGGCACAAACCCAAGTCTCGGGTTAAATCCCCAGTCAGTGTGCATATGAAAACAACAGCAACGAAATCTTAAGCAGAGGACACTGGAGTAAGGGGGAAGAGGCTCAAACCCCAGCTCAGCTTTTGCTAGCTGTCTAACCTTGAACAAATTAGACTCTGTGCCTCAGTTTCCCTATCTGTAAGATGGAAATGTTACTTCATAAGATTGCTCCAAGGTTTAAAGTCACTAGGTATTTTAAAGCACTCAGCACGATGTCTGACGTAGAGCAAGCATTTGAGGATAGCTATTACTGTAACTCCTACACCTACCTCTTCAAGCTAGGAGCTCCTTGGTACCACCATTATTTTTTTAAGGAATGAGAAGTGTTACTATTCAGCGGTATATATTTTTTATCTCAGTATGTTCATATTTTGAACATTGTGGACCGTTTTGCAGAATAAATGTTATCTTTCTCTCGAGGCAGAGCACTGTGTTGGAAAATCTAGCGAGTAAACAACCTGCTTCTCAGCACAGCATGCTAATTAAGGGGCAAGTGTTGTTTTCGAACACGGGCTCGCCGGGGCCAGATGCCATTCTGGACATTTCAACGGCTTCTGTTTACGCCTAGACTGCGGACTCCTTATAATCGACCACGTACTGTAATCTGTGCTAATGCGGCAAAAGCACACGTGTCGCCCAGGCCTAATGACCAGTGGCCAGCTGCGGCTTCGGCTCGGACTTCGGACCTGGGACCTCCCGGGTCCCCGCGAGCGCTCCCCGCCGTAGGCCCGCCGCGGCCGGCAAATCCCGGCTGGCACCCTCCCACGGACACCCACTGCCTTCACTCGCAAATGCAACTCCCCAACCACCGCCCCGCAGGCCTTTCCCGGCGCTCACGAGCAGCACAGACCCCCGGGCCCGCGGGGACCTGTCCGGCTCTGTCGCCGCTCGGGCCCCTCGGCCAGGCCCCAGGCAGCGTCCCTCCGGGGATTCAGGGCCAGCGGCGGAAGTATCAGTGGCTCCCGTCTTGGAGAGGTCCACAGGCCCCCTCCCAGGTACCTTCGACTCGGCGGAGCAGAGGTGACAGCTCCTGCACCCTCCCAGCGGCGAAGGCGGCGGCAGGCCCAGGTGAGAAGCGGTCACAGAGACGAGCGGAGCCACCACCTGAGCCAGAGCGGCCTCACGCTGCGGCGGCCGGCGCGCCCCCTGGAGGCGGGCAGCCCGCACCGCGGCTCAGGAGGCTCTCAGTCAAACCTGAACCTAAGTCAGCTTTCTTGGAATTAGACAAAGTACCAAAACTGTGGCATGGGAAAAGGGGAAGGCGACCTAAAAGTGTTTTCTCCCATCTGAGTCTGAGAGCATTTTGCAAGTTTCACGTCCTTTTCTAAATATACATCCAACCCCTCAGCTAAACGAAGGTTCAAAGGCAAGGACTATTTTATGAATAACGATAGGCCTCAATTAATACTTGCTGGCTGCTAGCTAAGTCGTCTCTGTAATTCAAAGAAATGTGTTAGTAGTAGCAACTAGAGTACTCTTAGTCTAACATATAACCCTGAGTCTTTATTTTTAATGAAAACGGTTTGATTATTTACATCTCACTTTTTAGGATTCCCAGCCCAAATGCAACATACGTGTGTACAGCCAAAACTAAAAATTGCATGGAGGGGTGGTGGGAAGTTCACTTACTGAAAATACCTTTTTTCTTAGTTTACCAGCTCCGGTCCTACCACCAAGAAGACTTCCCCTGCACAGTGATCGTCCCTTCTCTGAATTTGGGCACACTTGCTCAACCAACCACCCTGAGGATGTCTCATGCCCACCATTCAAGGGCTCTTTCTCACTCAGTCTGACGGGTTGTTCTTGGAACTGTCATGTAACCCTTTAGGATTATTGTAGAATTTGAGAAAACCACTCTCAAATTTCTTTCATAAAAGAACTATAAGATTTCAGGGCATTTCACATGTTCTTGTGCAGTGTTACTAATCATGAATATTAAATACTCTTCAAATTGATGACATTTATTAACTAACTGATTTATCATGGATGTCCTCCTTGTGGTTGTGTGTTAATATTTTTCACTGATGCCCATAAATTATGTCAAATCAGCTAACAATTCAACCTTTTCCCAAAGTGTTCAAACAATTCACATTCTTCTTCACTAACTGGTTTATCAAACAATCTGAGAGCCTATGCATTACTTCTATATAAATGTATCTCTCCTCTCCTTCTTCATGAGTTACTGCTTTTGTTTGATCAGAAAAATGTAGGGACTATGCAGACAGCTTTTTCCCTGATGAGATTAAGGGGATGAATTGCATGCTACACATATTCTGTGACTCCTTCATGTGACCACACCTGGGGACGTGGCACAATGGGCATAAGGAGTGTTCGTGGAAGTCACTTCCACACTCCAACAACAACTTAGCACTGTATGGAAGTGACCATGAACCACAGAAACTTATCCCACTAAATGCAAACCAAAGTATCCCCAATCTTGTTTATGCTTAGCCAGAGTCCAAAAATGTCTCTCACCACTCCATGCTACTCACCCAAAGGAGGAGAAAGTCTTGGGGAGTCTGAGTGCAGAGACAGCAGCCTTAATCAATTGTAGTGAAAATATTTTAATTTCACAAGGTTTAGAGAAACATTGGACCATGTGAACAAACTTCTGGAGTCCCTTCCAGACTCTTGGAAGGGGCCTATACAAGGGGAGGTTATCTTAGTTCCTTAATTTTGCCATAACAAATTACCACCAGCTTAAATAAAGACTTAAAACAATACTAATTACTTCTCTTACAGTTCAGGAGGTCAGATGTCCAAGATCAATTTCACTGGGATAAAATCAAAGTATTGGCAGTGTTGCATTCCTTCTGACGACTCTAGGGGAGAATCCATTTCCTTGCCTTCTCCAGCTTCCAGTGGCTGCCTGCACTCCTTGGCTCATGGCCTCTTCCTCTGTCTTCAAAACCAGCAATGTGGCTTCTTTTGTTCTCTCTGACCTCAACTTCTGTCCTTGCATCTTCTCTTAGGACCCTTGGATCACATGGATCACACCTGAATAAACCAGAATATTCTCTCCATCTCAAGGCCTTTAACTTAATCACATCTATAAAGTCCTTTTTACTGTGCAAGGTAAGATAGTCACTGGTTCCAGGGGTCAGGACATGGACATCTTTGAGGAAGTATTCTTCAGCCCACTAGAAGTTCCCTGAAGCTTAAACTTCATTCCCTTCAGGTAAATCTGCCTCTTCTTCCTCATTGCCAAAATCTATTTGGTCCTGAGTTCTGATTGTGAGAGTTCCGGTGGGAAGGAATACCTGTGACTAAAATGGGGACAAGTGTCACAAAGGTAAAGAGGAAAGATGCTGTGAAGGCAAACAATGTCCCAAAACATAGCACCTAATTTAAAAGGCCAGCAATGTCTTTGAATAAGGGAGACATCTGAGACACCAGGGATGAGGAGTTAATTAGGCAACGAACAAGGGAAGTGCTCTAGACAGCAGAGACAGTACGTGTGCCCTGGGCACAGTGACGTCGGAGGGTCAGGGCAGCTGAGCTGCAGCCCTAACATTAAACCCTTAGTACTTACCATAGTGAATGGCACATAGTAGGTGGTTAGTAGTTCTCAACCCTGGCAGCACATTGCAGTCACTGCAGTCACTGCAGGACCTTAAAAACACCAACACCCAGACCCTAGTCAAGACCAAGCCAAAATGGTTTGAAAGCACCCTACAGCCCAGGGTCCATGTTTCAAAGCTTCTCAGGGAATTCTAGATACAACTAAAGAACCCAACAGGATTTATTTTCAAGTCCCGTTTAAGGGAGCTTGCAATAGGGCTGTAAGACTTGAGGATTTTTCTACAGTTAATTCACTTTCTGAGGTCTCAGCCTGTCTTCACTGTGATCCCAGACTACATGTCAGCAGTTTTAATTTTGACAAAAGAAAAACAGCAGATGAGGTAAGAAAAAGGGGTAAACAACCCACAGTGCATCACAAAAGATGAACAACACAATACATACAAGGGCTGTCCAGAGGGGATCCAGCCATGTAATGTAAAAATCAGAGACATTTATTGAAGAAGTTACAAGAAACATTGGACATAGGACAATGACACCTCAGTCTCCTTCAAAGTAGGCACCTTGGGACCTCACGTAGTTCTCCCATTTGCCATCAGCTGCCTCATCATATTTTCCTGAATCTCATCAATAGTCTGAAATCTCTTCCCTTTCAAAGGTGATTTTAGTTTTGGGAAAAGCAAGAAGTTGCAGGGCACCAAACCTGGGCTGCAGGAGAGCTGAGTCACCTGGGAGATTTGATGTTTCACAAAAAAACTGCATGACATGTGGTGCACGAGCAAGTGTGTTGTCATAACGAAGCTGCCAATCACCAGCTGCCCATAGATGTGGCCTTCTGAATCATCCCAATAGTTTCCGCAGAGAAATGTTCAAGCTTAACACAAGATTTGATAATAAAAAATTAATTGTTTTACTGCCTCGGTCATTTTGAATGTGACAGCCACACAGTACACATGCTCACTCAACAGCTGCCCCCACTGACTAGTACAGTGAAGTCATTGTTCACTTATACATCTTCCAGTCCAGGCTGCCAGGTTACATCAGTGTTGCATAAACCATTCTCGTTACATTAACAATGGCTGGAACTTTCCCAGACAGACCTCATATAAGTATTGTTATACAGACATATGTATACGTATACATAATTGATATAAATCCAGCTACTTGTAAGAATCACTCTGATATATGTTCAGTCAACACATGAAGAAAAAGTATGATACACAATCCTCCTATTTTCTTCCTTAACCTGCTGTTACACAGGTGCTGGGGTCATGGACACACTTTCCCTCTGTGGATAGGCAGGTGGACTTGTTGACTTAACGCCTCTGGAAAGCCTGGTGTTCCCCAAGCTATTGTAACACAAAATCTGGGAACCAACTCTGTAGTTGAGTTGTAATTAGAACTTACCTCCAAGTGGTTGCCTTTTGCAATATGTACATTTAGTAACCTCCAGTTCACTTGTTTTATTCATCATTTTTTGTCCTGCTGAAAATCAGTTTCTAAACTTTCCTGGATTGGGACCCTAAAACAGTAGGTTCACATCACCTCTTTCTCCACACGCTACACCCTATTACAAAGGACTGGAGCTCCCCAGAAATTCTGCTGGGACCAGTTTCCGGTGAGAATCAGAGCACACATGTGCACAGCAAAGCCAACTCACACATGCCGTTTTCAGCTTGCTGCTCTGAGCATCATCACCCCTGACAACTGCTGCACCACCGAACCCATCGGATATGTGCTGATGTGGACAAACAGAAAAGCTATCAGGAAGTGCAGCCAACTCTGTGTCCCCACATTTCCGGGAGAGAAACCACATTTGGAACAGCACGAAAGCCTTAAGGTCAGTGCCTTTAAATCAACAGAATGTCTGGCCTCTTCCCAGATATTCCACAAGCAAAGCCCATGTGCTTATTAGCTAAAGGCTTTGCTCTAAGAAAAAAACATGTGCTAGGACTAGAACGAAGACCCAAGTTCACCACGTACTTTTTCTGAAGCTCCAATTCTTGTCTGGAAAATTATTATACAAATGACTTACTCCTGAAGAATACAACAAACAGCTAGTATAAAGCAACTTATATGCCAAATACAATGACACCTCAATAAAGTGGGGGGGAAAGCACAAGTACAAGGATTAAAAGCCATTTTATAAGAAGTTATTGGTTAGCTATACTTTTTGTTAATTGAGCACATCTTATTTTGGGGTGATGAGCACAATACACCTAACTTCTTGACATTTTGGGGGGACCACTGATGACAGGATCAAGACCAGTATAATAAAGGACAGAAGTGTTTTCCATTCCATCCCCCACCTTCCTGAGCCCCCAGCAGCCCACTGGACCACTGGCCACACTGCAGGAGGAGGGATGACCAGGAAGCATCGGAAAAGTGGAATGATCTCCCTTGCTGAGTTTTCTTTTGTTTTGCATTTTAAGATCACTTCGGCCACAATTTTCTCCCTGAGGCTTGGAACCTATTTGGTTTTCTGCAAATTAAGGTCACTTAGCTCTTTTCAACTTCTCTTTGAGGGTGAAATCATAGTGATTTCTAATGTAGATACATAACATAAAATCTGCTTCCCACTTGTCCGTGTGGGGATGTGTGCGAGCTGTAATCCTAGCACGTACTGCCCCGGACCAAGGCCTGGTTTGCAGATCATGTCAGATCTTCAGACGAAGCCTGCATGTGCTTTCCCTCCCTAGGACCCAAAGAGGCTCAGAACCTTGGACCCAACCACAATTTAATCAGCCCTGCCCTCTATTCTTATTACAGTTTGTGTGAAATTTTCAAATATGAGTGTGTTTGTCTGTAGGCAGAGAGCTCGTGCCAGTTTTTTAGGAGCATGAACAGCTACAGAAACAAAGGTGCACGTCTGGAAGAGGTGAGAGAAGGGATGCTGGTGAATGTGACTGTGTCAGGAGAAAAGCTGGCTGGCTGGGGGCCATTCACAGGTACATGGGGCGTGAATCTCTAGACTACCCCACACCATACCTACTCAGCGGTTGCCTGAAGGATTTCAAGAGTTGCCTACCTTTATAAACGTCGTGTGCTGGCTGATGTCTCCAGTGCCGGGTGGCTGTGCTGTCGGGAAGGTCACGCCCCAGCAACACCGCCTGAAGAGGTCATCCTCTGGCAGGAGTGATAGGGGTCTTCTCCCAGGGTTTGCAGTGGGCAAGGCCGCTTTGGCAGTTGGAGTTCAGACTTTATGCCCAATAGTGGTATGTTTTGATCCAGAAGTGATTCAAACCCCTAAACTCCTTCTGGATAAAGGCACAGGCCCAGCAATCCCCAAAGGGGCTAAGAGCCCCCTCTTCTCTCACGGATCTGCTGAGGAATGTGTGTTTGTACAAAGTAAGTTTTGAATTTCGTTTCGCACTACTCCAGTTCCTTTTTTCTTCATGGAATACACTGTGAATGCACTTCAATACTTGGATTTTCTTCTCATATCCTCAGATATATTGATGATAATCTCAGTGTCTTAAATAAAATTAACAAATACAATGCTGCTGTTCTTACCATCCTCAAATATGGATGAACTGCTTGACTTCGTGCTATAGGGATGCTGACTTCGTGCGTGCACACCGATCCCTCATCCTCTTAGCATTCTCTCCGAACTACTAACTAGCGTGGAGCAGGCTCACCAATCATTTCCCAAGCACCGTACTCCTTCTCCCATTGGGGCCTCTCTTTGCCTTTCCTGTGGGTGCCCCCAGTTCTGCCTCCACTTGGTTGTACTCTTTCTTCCAAGTCCCCGTTCTCCTTGGACCTTCCTGACCGCATCTCCCACACAACTTCCTTTCACACACAGGCCCGCACTGCACAATGGATGCCTCCCACCTGCTGTCCGCAATTACTCACTCCCATGTATCAAGTTCAACCAACGACCTACGTAACACCACATGCATATAGTTCGACCTAATATATATATCTTCTCACCCCCAAAACAAATTTCTAGTGTCTACAATAGTCCCTTAGACAGAGTAGGTGTTTGCCATTGAAAAGAAACAGGCCTCGACTAGTCTTCAATTGGCCCAATAGTAGATAAACTTCCATTTGCATCTAAAAATGCATCCTAGTCCATTAATACACTTACTACAAATGATATAGGGTGTTCATGATTCTTTCTGCCAACATTTCTATAGCCTAAAATATAAATATAAATGTTACTTTATGTTTTTACTTTTCAAACTTTGTGGTACTAGAAATTATGACTAGAGGCATTGTTTATAAGTACTATAGGACTTTAATAGATTTTATGCTTCAAAAATATTATTCACAGAATTTCCATTAGTAAATTCTATAGTCACTGGGATATATTTCATATTTATGACATGATGAGTTATACAACTGAGTTAGGAAAGAACATCACAATATTATACTTCATCTAGTTATATTATATAGATTCTTCTGTCTTCTCTTATAGCAGTCTTAACTCTATATATAACTATATTATTATGATAAACTGAAACAGGATAAGAAAAAATCTAGTGAAAAAGTATGCATATTTTTAAATCTAAGAGACTTATAAGGTAGCTGATATTGATATCCACTGATTCCCAAAATAAAAATATTCATAATAGCAAAATGACTACTGAACTGAACGTAGTATTCCAAGGATGGAACACAACTACAGGAGTGGAGACACGGAGAGCGGGGAAGCCTATTACTTGGAGCACATCTGTACTGGAGGCTCCGAATTACATAAGGGAACAAATCGGTATTCCATCCCCTCCTTGCCCTGGTGCTGTGGACACATCGGAGAAAAACAGATTTTGTTTTCTGTGGCTCCCTGTCTTAGAGCCACGTGCTCCTCGGCCGATGAACAAAGACTGCCCAGGGCCAGGTCAACATCCGCGGGTGGAGGGGCGGGGTTGGAGACCGGCTTCATGCTAATCCATTTGGATTTGCCCCTGGTCATCACCGAGGCAAAAACCACCTGTGTAACTTTGGCTCGTGTTTCTTTTTCATCTTGAGTTTAACAAAGTTCTGAAGTTCTGTTGAATAGGGTTCATCTTAATGTCACCACAATAGGAAGGGGTCCGATTTCTTTCACTGATGGTAGGAGGCTCACTTTTAACCGTGAAGCACTTTCGGACAACCTTAGAGGACATTGTAAAAAGTGGGGTTCTCTCTTCAAAGGCCTTCTTCCTTTGTGGTCCCCCAGACACAGTCAACTTCAGCTGTCTTAATCTTGTTCATTCTTGGCAGAAAACTAGAATAGTTTTTCTGTTGTGAAGTAAACAGAGAGGTTAGAAGTATATATGGGAAGGCATAATTTCCATATCAATAGTAACAATAATAATTTCAAGGATTTTAATATTTAAAAGGTAACGTAAAGTAACATTTGTTTAAGCAATGATTATTAGTTTTTATCCTTAGTTACATTTACGGCCGAGAGTGCCCCCTGCTGGCCTGCCAAGGTAGCCCTTTCCAGACCACCTCTGGGCGTTGGCAAGTCTCTAGGAAACACTAGAATCTGCCTCTTATCTTTCCCCTGCCTTAGAGCCATGAGACTTTCAGCTTTTAACTTTACCCCAAATCTTTAGTGCACATTCCACACAAATATGAACATTTTAAAGTATCTTATTTATTTTCAAACATTTTAAGAGCTTCTGGTTGCTACAAACCTTCAATGAGTGAGAAATCAGCCTTCAATATGTTTAGTATTTATGAAATCTCAAAGGGTTATGGGTAATATGCTTTGGCTCTAGAGAAATACATGTGGGGCACCTCAATGGGCAGGTCAGCTAAAATTCTGTTTTTCTGTGAGGGGTCTGTCTTGATGGAGAGACACCATGACAGAGCAGTTTAAGGAACAAACTTTATTTGTTAGACAACAAACTCAGACTACCTGGGTTTGGACACCCGCTCCACCACTCACTAGCTGTGAGAACTTTCTGTGTGTTTTCGGCTCCCTCAGCTATAAACCAAGGATAACAATGATACCTGGGTGGTAACCAGGACTAAATGGATCACACATGGAAAGTAATTGTGACAGTGTCCAGCAGAGAATAAACTCTATAGAAAGATTTGCAGTAAGGTATAGAAATGTCTAATCAGTATGTTGTAGGCCTGAAACTAATATACTACTGTATGTCAACTGCACTCTGATTTTTAAAAATTATAAATAAATACTAAAAACGAAGGGAAAAAAGAGAAATATTTGCTAAAAGAAGTTGGGATGCAATATGGTGGGACACCAGCCCCCGTCCGACATGCGGGCCCTGCCCTGGCAGGAAGGACGGACGGCTGCCTGCTTGGCCCGGCTGCTCCTCCGAGAGGAAAACCGAATCAGCGGCACGTCGACAGCAGCTGTGCTGCGTGTTCTGCTGCCTGCCGTGCTAGGACAGAGGCTCGCCACACGTCTGAACGTGCCTCGGACTGAAGGGAAGGGTTTGCTGGACACAGATGGCTGGTCCCCGGGCCCGGAGTTTCTGATCTAGCAGGTCTAGGGCCTAAGAATTTTAATTTCCAGTACATTCCCAAGGGATGCTGACGCTGCGGGTCCGGGGACCACACTTTGAGAACCACTGTTCTACAGCAATGGTCACAATCCTGCCTGTACATTAACCACCAGGGAGCTTTTAAAAATTCTGCTGCCAGGCCCCCCACCAGCCATCATTAGTTTTTGGATACCCCCAGGTGATTCCAACGTGCAGCCAAGGTTGAGAATTACAGCTCTACATAATTACTATGCTGCTGACATGGGTGCATTTAAATGATGGAGTAATTACCCTGTACATTTTTTATACTTTTTTATTTATTGATTTTTAGACAGAGAGAAAGGGAGAGAGAAAGAGAAGGAAAGAAACATCAAGGCGTGGTTGCCTCTGGTGCACCCCCTACTGGGGACCTGGCCTGAAACCCAGGCATGTGCCCTAACTGGGAATTGAACCAGCAGCTCTTTGGTTCACAGGCCAGCACTCAGTCCGCTGGGCCACACCAGCCAGGGCTACCCTGTACATTTTATACTTAAAGAAATTAAGCCCTGGCTGGCATAGCTCAGTGGATTGAGCGCGGACTGGGAACCAAAGTGTCCCAGGTTCGATTCCCAGCCAGGGTACATTCCTGGGTTGCAGGCCAGAACCCCCAGCAACCACACACTGATGTCTCTCTCTCTCTCTCTCTCTCCCTCTCTCTCTCTCTCTCTCTCTCCCCCTCTCCCTCCTTTCCCTCTCTAAAAATAAATAAATAAAATCTTTAAAAAAATTATATGTGTACTAAAAAATAAATTTCTAATAAAAAAAAAGAAATTAAAGCTTGGTACAGTGTTTCCCACTGAGCAGTTTGTTATACACTCTGACTGAGGGTCCCGACACCAGACCTACTGCATCGTTCTGTTGGGGTGAGGCCCAGGAGTCTGCACTATAGTAAGTACCTCAGGAGCCCATATACACACTTCATTTTTTTTTTTGCCTGAAGACACATAGCCAGTTAAGTGGTGGAGTTCTCATCTCGTGTCTCTGATCTATGCATCCAGAGATGGTATTATAAGAGAGAGAAAGCTTTGCATTTAGCCTGTTTTAATTTTTTCCCTGAGGTTATTCACTCAAGAAAAGATCCTATATACTTATATATTTATAAATACTATCCCTAAATACTAAGTATTTTTATATACACAGCAGATCCAATGACAGGAGTTGGACCAACAATAAATTCCATTCAAAAGCTAAGAGGCCAGCTGGATTTCATTCACCTTCTCTAGGATTTGAACCTGGGAAGGAAGAGCTAGCCAAGGGAGTTCAGGGCACAGCTCTAGAGTCAGATCGCCTGCCTCCCTCCACCACTGACTACCCTGCAACCTGGGGCAAGTCACTGCACCTCTCTGTGCCCAGTTTCCTCAACAGATTTACAGGGCGGTGGTGAGGAGGCATGCATTCGCCCACAGAAAGCGCTCAGTGGTGACTGGAAATGACGAGAGACTACTGATGCTTTCTCTCATGATTTCTACTGCTACAGTTATCTGCACAGCGGACCTACATGCTCAGAAAAGTGTTTTATAAACTTAAACGCTGTTTTATGCAGAGTACACTGTGGAAAGTCCACAAAACTAAAATATACAAACTAGAAAGTATTTTCCAAAACATGCTCAGGGTGTAGAAGGTAATCATTAAAGAATTTTGTATTCTTAAACATTTTTTATGTAAAAACTCAGAGAGGCATTTCTCCTAGCCATACTGGCTGCTACAAAACAAAACAAAACAAAACAAAACAAAACAAACAAAAAAAAAATACCATACTTCTCCTATGCCCTCTGATTGGCCTAACCTACATGGGAGAGCTTCTTAAAAGGAAAATTCTGGCTTATTATTAAAAGTAGAATGACTCTGGTTCCTTAAAGGGTGAAAGAGGGAAGATTTATCAAAATTATAATGTATCAATTACATAATTTTATTCACAGACCTGGCTTTGTTGAATGTTGTACTTCTTACTTTTGCCTGGTTCCGGAACTTCAATCTGCTAAAGAGATTAGTGAAATGTCAGTCAGCACAGCCCGGAGAAGGAAGCACAAAAATAACCTATTTAACCAGCGCACACGCCTTCCCCAATAATCCTCTTAGTGGCCCCAAAGGCGGCCAGTCAGCAGGCCTACCTGCTTGTCATCTGCATATTCCTCCTTCATTTGCAAGTGTCTAAATGGTATAGTAATTGAGTTGCCAAAAGTTAAGTGAAGCTTCATGTTTAATCTTGATGGTTGCCTACGGATAGTGTGATTTAACACATTCTAAAAGGGCTTCAACACAAAATAAAATGAACTTCTAAATCCGAAATAATCCACGGAATCCAATCCATATGCTGAATCAAAGCCAAATGGGGCTTTGAATAATCAAGACACCATTAATCCAGGGAAGAATCAAACTGCAGTGCAAGACATTTGCGTCTACCTTGAGTACATAAGGTAAACTTAACAGTCAGAGTCCCAGCAGAAAATAGATGGCGCCCTCTTGGGGTGATGGAAGAGAGTTTTAATTAAAAGGAACAATTTAATGGAGGTGTGGGCAGGATTAAAGTGAATCAATGAAGGGAGGCTGGAGCCCCCAAGGACTAGGGTGTGTACTCATTGCGGGGGGGCGAGGGAGGGTGATTCTTCCCCCTCTGGGCCTGAAGGGGAAGGGGAGCAGCTGGTACTGGAAGGGGAGCAGCTGCAGCCGCAGGAAGGAGAGGCTGCCCACAGGAGTGGAGCCCTTGATACAGGCTGTGCCAACAGCAGAGACTCAGCAGGGGCAGAGTGGGAGAAATAAATACCCCAATCTCGCTTTTTCTCCCATACTTTCACTGGGTTTCCCCTTTGGTGAGCATGGCCCAAGGTCGGAGGTCAGAGGGCAAGATCACAGAACACACAGGTCAGTCTCCAGGGCACAGAGAGGGTGGACAAGAGTGGAGAATGAACCTGGAGTGGCAAAGACAGGGTCTGGCAGAGCCAGTAAACTTGACCTAGGCAGTGTTTGGGGGAAAGAGTTCTCAGACTTGGGGGAAAAGAAGAGAACTACTATTAAATAATTATGTGCATGTCTCCACTTATCATTCTGTAACTGTAAACGTTGCTTAACTGATTGCCTTTCTCCTCCAACCAATAAGCTCCTTGATGCTGGATCCTCCGTTTCTAGCCATTGCATGGCAAATGCAGGCATTCATAAATGACAGAATGAGTGGCAAATTAGTTAAGGTGTCGGGTATTGCTTATTATTCATGAGACTCTAGGGCAGGACGTTTCCAAATAAGTGGGATAAATGACATGACACGGCAAAAGAGTAACTATGGTTAACTTACTTTTGTTATAAAATATGTTGTTTTGAAGTGTGCATAGGACTTTTTAGGTTACTATTCTTAATCAAAAAGTTCATATATTTGAGACTAATCTTAGCAATTTAAAAAATCAGTTATTAAGTTTTGGCAATGAGAAATAAATGCTCTGATGTTTTATGTGTTTTACTATTATTATTATTGCACAATATTACATTATAGTTTGTAAGAGGTCTTGTGAAATGAAATATAGAGTTGAGAAAAAACAGAAATTTTCTCTCTCCTAGTCTCATTCTCCTCCCCCTATATCAAAATAAAATAGAACCCACTACAAATGGTAAGTGATTCCTGATATAATCTGTTTCCTTAACTTATTTCAATAAGGCTTTAACTATTTTATGTACTAGAAGGAATGAAGTTGGGGGGGGGTAAACTAATTCTTTTTCATAACACAGTATGCCTGCACTTTCTCCTTCATCAACAGAGAAGTTTCTGTTAATAATCTCACCACTCGCCCCGGCACCTTCATTCCCCAGGCTTTCTAACACCCTGCCTCCTGCTACGCTCAGGCCAGGCCGTTCTCGGGACGGCTGGAACATGTCCGTACTTCTATTTTCTGAACTGGATGAGCTATCCAAAGGCTGACAACTGCTGGGAATCGGATAGCACTGCCCTCGGTGCGCCCCCTCCTCATCACAAAACGGGGACCCACTGTGGCCTTTCACGTGGTCTGAGCTTCCCCAGAATGAATGAGAAATGGAGAGAAAAACAATGCACGTGGCGACGGCAGTTTGGGACGCGGGTAAAGAGGAGGAGGCCCGCAGGAAGCAGAAGGCCATCTCGTTCTCCCCTTTGTTTCGGTGGCTGCATTTCCTTAGTTTGCAGACTGTTCATCTGAATAAAGTTTCTCCTCCTCTTTCTGCACCCCAGACTGGGAACTCCTGTTGGTGTTAGATGGATGGCAGGGACCTTTTGTTGACAGTGTAACACATGAATTCATTTGCAGAGACAACAACATACCCTGCAGAAAGGCTAGCTTAACCAGCTCCCTCGCAGCAAGGCGTGGGCCTGTGGTGTGACCCACCCTTCGAGAACGAGCTGTAAGCAGAAATTCTGTGTGGGACTTCTCAGACAATGTCGCAGAGAAAAAAGATGGGCCCCTCTTCATACTTTCCTCAGGCTCGTCGCCCAGAATGAGGGTGCAGTGATGGGAGCTTGAGCACGAGGCGAAAGCCACTGCAGACAGCCAGCAGCAGAAAGGTCTCCAGTGACGGCTGAGAGGCGCCGTGTCAACCCGAGACTGCCAGCCCCTCGGCTGCTTTCCAATGAGAGAAACAAACTTTTCTTTTGCCGATGGCACTTTTTTTTGTAATATGTAGCCAAATCAACTCCTAATATACTTTATTTGAAAATAAAATAATCCTTATAATTCTGTTCTAGCTAAAGGTAACAAATATTAACAAACCTTACTTAGGCATTAGTGTAGAAGCATTTTTTTCATTCCTTCCGGTTTGCAGTTAATATTGCTTGGAGAAGTTAACACGACTTTTTTATTACTAACTGTTTACATTGTTGTTGAGTGCGTTTAACTTCACATTTTAATGATCTCATCATAAACGTTTCAAATCTACCTTTGAAAGCATTGCCTAAAGCTAACTGAGCCAATTAACTTTAAGTTGGCACTCAATTTCTTCTTTTACTCCTTCCTTCTTACTCGGATAAAACAGTGCTGTTTAATCTGCTTTTAGGGACAATCTGCTTTATTTATGGGGCTCATTTGGTTACAGTTTCCTCAATTTCTCCCTTCCTTCCCAGGTTCTTCATGATTATCAAAATCTTAGAATCTATTCTACCTTGCAAAAGAAAAATCTCTGAATCCTAGACTATACCAGCCTTTTATATGTGACACGCATCAGTTCAAACTTTATGTGGGAGCAAATGCCACAGCCGTACACTTACATGGCTCCATTAAGCTACACGAAATGAACTGTTCTCATCAACTGTACTTTGAAGGGAGGCCCAGAATCAGCTGAAGTTCAAAGAGCTGATCTGTTTTTTCTCTGCCAGGGTCCCAGTCTCCCCAGGGGTTTGCAGATGAAATTCCACATTGAAATGGGGACCATCCCTACAACATCCTCTTGAAAACCCAATATTCAAGAGGAAGGCTCTTAACTTGTCTTTTCGATAAGAAAAATAAGAAATAAAAAAATATTTTGTGCAAATAAAACTTGTTGAGTATTTGGATACAGAAAAATACTGACTAATACTGATTTTGATAAAAAAATGTTTTGTGGAAATAAAACTTGTTGAGTGTTTGGATACAGAAAAATAAATACTGACTGATACTGATTTTGTGATCAGCCCTAAGGATAAACTATAGGTTTCGGTTTCTGTGCAGCTCTACGGAATGTAGTTCCTGTGGTTGCTTTTCTTGAAAACCTTGAGTGATACTCTCTCCCATTATTGAGCAAACTCTTTAGCTATTCATTGTGCAAGTATTTCCTTGCATCAGGTAGCTTACATTTTATTCAACCACATTGGAGGGCACTTCTCCCTTTTAAGTGGGACTACTTCAGCTAATTACTTTTCTCTTTCTTCTTCTTCTTTTTACATCCATGATAATTGGAGCCTAAGGGGGTCCATCCTGCCTAAGAGGTTAGATTTTATTACTCTTTTTAAAACAGCGTCCTTGATTCTTTTATTGCTGTGATTTGCTACTGGAGCACATTTTGAATTATTTCAACACCAAGAGGCAGTGCATTTTTATTTTACCTGGACAAAATATATTTTCAGTTCTGGAAGAGAAATAAGGATAAAATGAAACTATTTTCTTAGAAAAAAAGCTGCAAAGTCAAGAGAGAGCAATGCTAAACGAAGATGTCATCCATCCTCATAGAAAGGACTAAATTTAAATGAAAACCTTAGAGAACATTTCCATATATTGTCTGTTGTACTTTTAAAGATAATGGTAATATTCTGGAAAAGAATTATGTTTGTAAATGTCAACCAGGCATTAGTATTTGTAATCATAAAAAAATTAAACTATATTGTGCTATTAGGGGGCACCCTTATATCGTGGTGGTAACAAAGCAAGTGGAAAAATAACTCTATCTCAGTAACTCTTTTTACAGCCTGCCACCAACCTTTTCAGTGAGTTATTAGGCCTTTTATTAGCGGGATGTCGACTAGAAAAACAAAGTTTAGTTTTATACTGAGGAAAAAATTACCAGTTTGAGAGCTTATTTTACCTGATGGTCTCTCCTGACTGCTAAAGACAGTTTACTTTGGCACATCGTGAGGCCGGTGGTTCTTTCTAGAGACAGAACTGTAGAACTGGTCTAAGATCGTTGCTGCTGTTAAAGGCCTTTCAAGAGCCTGACTTTATAATGTAGCTTTCATGGTAAATCCAGATTCTTCCCTTTGGGGGAAGGCAGAAAGACAAGGATACAGTGTAGAGGTTGGAGAATTCTCAGCAATCCAACGATGATTCTCGTCGGGAAAACAGCGCGAATTCTAAAGACAGAGCCCCCAGAGGGCAGAGAAGCCCCGTGCTGGATTCCTCTCTCCGGGTCCAGGGAGCTGATGAGGGCCGTGCAGTGTGTGCTGACGGTGGGAACGGAAGTGAAAACTGGACACAGGTAAGAGCACTCACCATTTCTGGATTCTCTGCAGCTAGCTTTGCCATCTTTTCTGAGACCATTTTTTTCAAGCAGCTGCTCAGCAAAAAAGCCTAAGAAAAACAGAAATAAAGAAGTCTCTCAGCGAAAGAGATCTTTTTTCTCTTCCTTCCCTCCTCACACCACTAGGCAGATTTTGAGCTCTGCCCTCCAAGAGTATGAATTTAGATTTTTTTTAAACTTCCATAAATTTGCATAAGATGTAATTAACAAGTAATGAAAATTTTTTCTCAATTATGTGGATATATTTACAGTAAATTTTTAAAAGACAGGTGAAAATGGCCAGGATCTCATTTTTTTCTATCACTTTGTAAGCATCTCATATTTCACAAGGAACGAATAATAAAAATTGCTTATTATTGTAATCACACGAGCTGATATTGGTCAATCTTATAATTACCTGCATGAATAATAACTAAGAGACCTGCGCATAAATAGCAACCCATGTAAAAGAATATGGCATTTACAACTTTTTATGGCTTTTACTGAAACTGAAAAAAAAATCGTTGTTTTTCTTCACTGTTTCATTTTTCTGGTATCTTCAATCACTCACTTTCAAAACTGACAGCTGTCCCCAGTAACACCTGTGGCTTTACTGTTGGTTCACGGTGGTTAGTCCGAGACACACGCCTCACATCGTGCAACACGAAACTTGGGGCTCCCTTGTTCCAGGACCTGCACACCTATTTGCCAAGTGTAAGGTTCCCTGTGATTTTCCCAGTCGCTCCGTTACCACTAACCCTTTTCCTCTCTTGTCCTGCTCTGTTCCCGCTCACTCGCTCCTTCGGCCCCACCAGCGCCTGAGATAACCGACGTCAAAGTCTGAGGTTACAGGAACTTAGTCTAAGTGCATGCTCAAGAATGGTCCCTTTATGGGGGCTGTGGGGGCTGGAGGGGGAGCGGACAGTGGTGACGGAGAGGAGAAAAGAGAAAGAAATCTCAGGTTGGGGGAGTAGCCCATGTGGATAACTCTTGGAGGACAGTGCATAGAAACAATTAGCGGGAGAGAGGGCTCCCTAAGGGAACGGCCCAGAGTCTTGCAGGACTGTAGCCCATGGCAGGGACTCATTGAATGTTAAGGGGAGAGAACCGTAGGAAGAGGGGAGAAAGGCACTGCTGCTGATGAGGAGAAGAGCTCCTGGTTTGGGTAGGGACTAACCCTGTGTGTCTGGGCAGAAATGCAGCCTACACAAAACCAGGCTGGGAGATAGTTCAAAAACACCCCTTGAGCGGATGCCACTAGGAAGGCTGTTTAATGATGTCCCATGAGGCTTGGACTGATTTCATATTACTATACAATGCACAAAGATAAGGAGGTTAGGACTCTGCTATAAACGAGGAAAGGTTTATTAAGTATAAAGGGTCTGAGCTTTTGTTTACAGGGCCTAGGAAAGATCCGGGCCCAAGCCCTCATTTGTATGTATTTGCGAGGCACACAAGCCACATTTTGGCTTTTTCCGAAAGTAGTCTCAATAAACCCACACTCCAAAGGAAATAAGACCTTACTAGGAATCCTTTAAAAGAGTGTTTATGATACCTCTGTATAGTGATTTAAACTCCTTTGCTACAGACTAGATTAAAAGACCATAATAAAATTTAACTATTGCACTTAGCATTCTAGGGGAGGGGGGGTGGTTTCACTACCAAAATCTCTCTTTGTGTCTCCAAGGCCTGCAAATCTTGCCTCAATGAACATCCTATCATCTTCCTAAGAATGTTTCATATTATGGAGTAGTTCCAACAGAGACCACATGGGCCACAAAACCTAGAATAGTTACCAGTTACCATCTGGCCCTTTGAGGAAAAAGCTTCCTGACCCCTGGTTTAAGCCAGTGTCAGTGGAGTCTTCTGTTATTTGGTGACTAAATTCATTTCTAATTGATATGAAGGCTGTGGTGACTAGGAAAACAATACAAAACAAAAAAAGAGTATCACAGCCCCAAGAGAGGGTGCATAGCACACTCTAGTAACTAGAAAGAGTTCAGGTTGCGTGCTGTGTCCACCCCAGCAAGCAAGAGGACATCAGCGCAGGTTCTCATGCTCTTCCCTGAGGACTCACCTGTTGGGTGTAAACGACAAACCACTGCCAGCGACCACCCTCGCTGTACTGAAACCTGAGCTCCAGGTCCTGGCTCAGAGTTCGCTGGGGCCCATCCATATCCAGCAGAGTCCCCTACAGAGGAAAAGATATTATTTAGTATTCAATAGAAATTTAAGTGGCCCTGACTAGTGTAGCTCAGTGGATTGAACACCTGCCTGCAAACCAAGGGGTCGCCAGTTCGATTCCCAGTCAGGGCACATGCCTGGGTTGCAGGCCAGGTCCCCAGTGGGGGATGAGCGAGTGACAAACACACATTGATATTTCTCTTCCTTTCTTTCTCCTTCACTTTCCCTCTCTCTAAAAATAAATAAAATCTTAAAAAAAAAAAAAGAAATTTAAGTGGCACAGGCTGCCAGGCACATGGGGGGTAAGGCGAGAAGAGGCTTAGAGAGGCAAGCGAGGGCCAGATTTTGAAAGCTTGGTAGAAAGCACCTGTGGTTCTTGCTGTATAACATCTCTCCTCTGTCTCCTAGCCACGTAGTCTCATATGCCTGGGGAAAACCATCTCGCATCCACTATGGGTATTAGGTGGGACTGTCGGGAAAGCTGCTTCCTGAAGGGTGTCCCGTGACCCAAACTCAGACCCACTGAACAAATACCTCTGTGCCCTCATTTGATCCCACAGCAGAGAGACCCAAGGAGGAGGTCCTGACAAAGGATTCCTAGGAACCTGGAGCTCCTCTGGCTCCTGGCTTTCCTCAGACTCTGCTCCAACCTTTCCTTTAAATCAGTGGCTTACCCCGTCTTCCTCCCATTCATCCCTTTTCACTGGAGCCACAGTGTTGGTTTCTATTCCTTGCCACCGAAGACCCCTAACTGTTACAGGTCTTATAAGCTAAGTTAGGAGTCTGGACTTTATCTTGAGAGCAGTAGGCACTTATTAAAATATTTAAAAACTATATAACAATTCAATTTGATTTATATTTTGGAAATATTGGTCTGATAGCGTCGATGTAAAAACTGAACTGGAAAACAGCTGTTTTCGGGCACTGAACAACAAATAATACAGAACTGTTAACTCAGGGAGAAAAAAACAAGTGGGGTGAGCCCTACAGTTCCCCAGCTTGCTGCCTGGAGGAGTTTGCAGGATGCAGCACAAGGAGGGGGAACCCGGCCCAGGGGTCATGCCGGCTGGAGGAGAAAAAGCTAAACATTTGAAGATGTCAAGGTTAGAATCTGTGGGACAGAAGACCAAAGGCAAGGGCTGTAGACAGAGAAAGAACTCCAGAGACCTCCTTTCTAACAACGACCCGTGCATGTGAGGCTGGGGGAAGAGCCGCTGCAAAGCAGCAGGCCGAACAATTCCAGGAACTCACAGACTGGGCTGGAAATGGTTCGAGTCTCCATCAACCGGAGTAGAGAGACCATAATAAACAAAGCGTTGGGAGAGAGCTAACGAGTAAAGGACTAAATAAGCCCTCAAGACTGCTCTTGACCTACCTTCAGAAAGCTTAAAAGCAAGCCAACAAGTAAATAAATAAATACATCCAAACCCAAGAAACTTCCTTGCATGCCAGGATGTCTAATACTCTTTAAAGGAATACAATAAAATCTAGCATTCAACAATGCAAAATTCAGAATGTTTGCCACACCATAAAAAATTGCCTGGTATGCAAAGTATGCTGTGCAAACAGGACACTAATTAATCAGTAGGAAAACACTCAGGAATGACAGACATGATGGAATTAGTAGACAACAGCACTAAAACAGATACTTCAAATATACTCCACACACTCAAGAACTTAGAGAAAAACATATCACAATCAGAAGAACAATGGAGTTATAAAAATGACCCAAGTGGAATTTCCAGTGGTTAAAAATACAATAAAAGAAATAGAAATACATTGCATGGGGAAAACAGCATGTTAGGCACTACAAAACAAAAGATCAATAATCTTAAAACCAGAGTGAGAGAAACTACTGACAGAGAAGCACAGGGAGAATGAGGACTGAACCAAAACCACAATGAGATACCACTTGGCATCCACTAGGGTGGCCATAATTTTAAAATCAGATAATAATAAGTACTGTCAAGCCCTGGCTGGCGTAGCTCAGTGGATTGAGCGCGGGCTGGGGACCAAAGTGTCCCAAGTTCGATTCCCAGCCAGGGTACATTCCTAGGTTGCAGGCCATAACCCCCAGCAACCGCACATTGATGTTTCTCTCTCTCTCTCTCTCTCTCTCTCTCTCTCTCTCCCCCCTCCCTTCCCTCTCTAAAAAATAAATAAATAAAATATTTTAAAAAAAAATAAAATAATAAGTACTGTCAAGGATGTGGAGAAGTCAAACCCTCATGCTGGCAATGTAAGATGGAGCAGACGCTCTGGGTAACAGCCTGAGATTTCCTCAAAACCCAACCATAGAGTTACCAGCAGGGCAGAGTTACCAGCAGGGCAGAGTTACCAGCAACTCCGCTCCTAGGTTTAAGTCCAAGGGAGGTGAAAACATATGTCCACACGAGACTTGTACACGCGTGCACACGGCACTGATTCATAGCCACCGAAAGGTAGAAACAACCCGAATGCCCATCAGTGGATGACTGGATAAACCAAGTGTGTTATATTTGCACAGTGAAGTACTATTGGACCACAAAAAGGAGTAAAGTACTGATATGCACCGCGACAAGGATGAACCTTGGAAAGAGTAAGTGGGAGGAGCCAGTCACAAAAGACCACATACGACTCCATTAACATGAAGTGTTCAGAAGAGGTGAATCTAGAAACGAAAAGTAAATTACTGATCTCTTAGGGCTGGTAGGAATGGGGGGATAGGGAGGAAGGAGGCAAAAAGTGTGAGGATTCTTTCTGAGGTGATAAAAATGTTCTGAAATTGATTGTGGTGATGGTTGCACAACTCTGTGAATGTAAGAAACACCATTAAAATGTACACTTTATATGGATGAACTGTATGGTATGTGAATCGCATCTTGACAAAACTATCACAAAGGAAGAGAGTCACTGTGTGGTGCTGGTGGAGAAATGGAGACATAGATCAATGGAACAGAATAGGCCAGAAATAGACCCACACACACGTGCCCAACTGTTCTTGGTACAGGTACAAAGGCAATTCCAGTGAGGAAAGAAAGCCTTCTCAACGAATGGTCCTGCAGCAACTGGACTTCCACAAGCAACCCTGTTCTAAGTTTCACGCCCTGTACAGAAATCAGCTCAGAGCGGATCACAGGCTCAGATGAACACCCCGTAACTACAAAACCTTGAGGAACAAACCCTAGGGGGGAAAAAAACTTCAGGGTCTAGAGTTTGGCAAAGAGTTCTTAGACTTGACATCAAAAAACACAATCTATAAAAGGAATAACTGATGAATTATACTTCATAAAAATTAAAAGCTTTTGCTCCACAAAGACCTGTTAAGAGGGCAGAAAAAACTAGAAAGTATTTGTAAACCACACATCCGACAAAGGACTAGTATCTAGAATGTATTAAGTGTTCTCAAAACTCAACAGTAAACAAACAACCCAACTAGAAAATGGGCAAAAGATAAGAAAAGATGATACGCAGCTGGCAGATAACCACCTGAATAGATGTTCAACATCATTAGCCTCGAGGGAAAGGCAAATTAAAGCCACATTGGAAAACCATCACACACTCATCAGAATGACTAAAATAAAAAACGGCGACCATGCCAGACGTTGATGAGGATGCAGGAAAACTGCATCACTTGCGCATCGCTGGTGGGGATATAAGCTGGGACCGCCACTCTGGAAAACAACTTGGTACTTTCTTAAAAAAACTAAACATTCGACTCCCATGTGACCCAGCGATTGCACTCCTGGGCATTTATCCTGGAGAGGTGAAGCCCGGTGCTCAGACAAAAGCCTGCACGTGGATATTTATAGGAGCTCTGCTCAGAATGACTAAAAACTGAAAACAAACAATACCTTTCATCGGGCAAATGGCTAAACAAATGGCAGCCATTTCATACCATGGAACACTACTCAACAATAAAAAGAAACAACCCACTGATATACACATGACAACCTGGATGAAGTTCCAAAGAATTATGCTGAATTTAAAAAAAAAAGTCAATCCCAAAACACTACATATTACAGTATTCCATTCATGCAACATTCTTTTCTTAAATTTTTTTAAATTTATTGACTTTAAAGAGAGAGCAGATGGAGAGAGGAGGAGAAAGAGGGAAACACTGATTTGTTTTTCCACTTATTCATGCAGTCACTGGTTGCTTCCTGTATGTGTCCTGAGTGGGGGTCAAACCTGCAACTGTGATTTATTGAGACACGACTAACCAACTGAGCTGCCTGGCCAGGAAACATTCTTTTTATGAAGAAGATAATCAATTCTTAGCTTATGTGTACACACACACACACACACACACACACACACACACACTTAGGGGGTAAGTATATATATATAAATATATACACTTATAGTATACTTATAAGTATACTATAAGTATAAATATATATATATATATATATATATATATATATATATATATATATATATTTACCCGCTAAGAAGAGTGAATCTTCTTATTGACAGCAGTCAGGTTCTATAAAAGTCACCATAAACACTGAGTCACCAAATACTGAATCACAGCCCAAGGAGAAATGCAGGGTTCAGTTCCTCTGAGCCCCTGATCACATTTTCATCAACTGACCAATATGTAACCTCATTTTATATGCATTTCTTTTTTAAAAACAGTCTAACTGACATATAATATACAAAAACTGCACAGAATTAATGCATACAATTTGATGAATTTTCACACATGCAAACATCCGTGAAACCTTCCCCACAACCAAGGTGATAAATACACCCATCACCTCCAAACGTTTTATATAATATTCTTGAAATGACACCATGGAAATGGCAAACAGATGAGTGGTTGCAAGGAGTTAAGGAGGAGTGGAAATGGGAGAAAGCAGGGATCCTGTGATGGAAATGAATCAACACCCATGTCCTGGATGGTGATATCATACATCGTATAGTTTTGCAAGATAAAATAATTGAGAAGAGTAGTTAGAGAGTACACAGGATCTCTGCACCATTTTTTACAAATGCACATGAACCTATATCAAAGTTAAAAGTTTAACTATAAGCCCTGGCTGGCGTAGCTCAGTGGATTAAGCATGGGCTGTGAACCAAAGGGTTGCCAGTTTGATTCCCAGTCACGGTACAGGCCTAGGATGCAAGCCAGGTTCACAGTGGGGGCCACATGAGAGGCAACCACACATTGATACTTCTTTCCCTCTCTTTCTTTCTCCCTTACCCTCTTTCTAAAAATAAATAAAATCTTTTTTAAACGTTTAACTACAAGTATTTAAATAAAAAATAATTATACAGTAGCATGAGCTTACATGTAGAAACAGAGTATGGCAACAGATACCACAAATGACAGAAAGTGTTTTGACACCTCCTGTGAAGTGGTGTATTGAAAGTAGACTGTAATAAGATAAAGATGTATATTAAAAACTCTTAAGTAACCATAAACACATTTTTAATAAAGATATAGCTCACAAAAACCACTGCTGAGAAAACTGGATTCATAAAACAAGGCAGGAAGAAACGGATAAAACTCAAAAGGAACAGACAAATCCACAATTGTATTTGGAGACCTCAACACTGCTCTCGATAACTGACAGAAGTAGACAGGACATGTATAACGTTACAGGAGATTCAACACTATCAGCCATGGGACATGACCGACATTCACAGATGGCTCCACCCTCCAGAGGCAGAATAAACACTCTTTTCAGGTGCACAGGAAACATGTTCCACAGTAGACCAAATTTGGGGCCAGAAAACAAGTTCCTGTAAGTTTAAAAGGACTGGAGTCCTATGACATTATTTCCTCTGACCCCAAGGGGGAGAGAGTGGGGCAGGGAGGAGGGTTCGGGAGGCTGCTAGGTCCATCTAGGCAGGAGATGTTGAGACCAAACTGTGAGGGTGGACAGAAAGGACACCTTCTGATGGATAGCAAGGGCGTAAAATGGATAGACCTCCGCCAGCAATTAGACACAGAAGATAAGAGAGAGAAGTCAGAGATAATTCCAACATTACCGGCTGGGCAATTAGGGGGTGGGAGTGGAAGTCCCACTTACCAAGACAGGGACCACGGGAGGGAGAACCCTAGGGTGGGCAGGAGAGGGAAGGCAAGGTTGGGTATGGCGCGGTCATGAGATGCCCGGTGGAGATGTCCGGAAGGCAGAAGGAAACACTGGTCCTTCTGAGAGGGACCTGGGTGATCGGTTTCCGAGAACGCGCAGGGGAAAGATGCTAGAAATAGAACCCCAGGAAACACCAGCAGTTTCGAAGTGATGGAAGGGAGAAGCGGCCCACAAAAGCAGAGGAGGAGGGCGAGCGAGAGGTCGAAGACTGCCCGGATCGGAAATGCCCTTGGATTCCATGCACTTAACAGCTGGGTGTCACAGTTGCTCTACTAGAATGTGTCCTCTACTAGGTAACCTCCGTTTCCTGTGTAAAGGGGATAATTCCACCTTTAAGGGGATAATAATTCACTGAGTTATTGTAAGAATTAAATAATAGATGTGGCAATGCCCCGCAGAGCACCTGGTGCAAAGCAGGCACTCAACAAATCTGACCGTAAGGGCTTCTCTTGGGGGCTCAGCAATGAGCCCCCAAGAGAAGGCAGGAGGCAGCAATGTAGGTGTGATGCCAAGGGATCCGTAAGTATAGCTTACTGCTCAGCATCCAGTTTCCACGGGGGGAGATCCTGTCAGTTCTAAGTACATACGAAGAGCTCTGTGTATGATAGCTGTTATTTGCACATGCTGTTATTACTGCAGCCACCCTTCAAGCTGCGGAGAAGCCTGTTATTGGAAGGTGGGAAGATGGCATCTCTGCTGCTGTGGGTGGGGAGCTTGCACCAGACAATAAGTAGGTTTTGCCGCTGGGTGGTGCTTACTGTGGTTTAGATGCGTGTTCACTCGAGGTGCTGACTCAAAAGGCAGACCTGTCCCCGAGTGAACTCCGTCATCCAAAAACAACAGGACTTTGAATCATGAATGGAAGTTTCAATCATGGGGGAGGCAGCACCGAGATACTCACGAGGAAAGTGACCTGCCAGCACCTCACTCTGCTCATCTGGAAGGTGATGTCCCGGGTCTGGGCATCGGGCAGGGTGATGCGGCAGCTGATCTGGTGGTTGCCGATGGAAATGACGGCTGCACAGCCCGGCTCTGGGTAGTCGCAGACACAGGGGTCCAGCTGCATGCACCCGTAGTGCCGCACCTCCCGGGCCAGCTCCAGGAACTGCTCCAGAGGGAGGTGTGGGGACGTGGGAGGAAGCAAAAGACCACTTGAAACAGATGAAAACCTCACATGAGAGGCTGCTGCCCTTTTCCAAGAACACGGGGAGCTGAGAGGTGGTGGGAGCACCTTTTTCTTCTGGATGATGCGAGGGAAGGCAGTGCCCTCCTGCTCCCTGACAGTAAGGCCTGGGGAAGTTCGCGGTCTGTCCCCAGGGCAGGCACTGCTCCTGCCTCGTCCGTTCACCACTGTGTCCCTGCTCCAGTCACCGTGCTCAGGACAGAGCGGGAATAAAAATATTCAGTGCACGAATGAAGAAGAAAAGAGGGAATCAATTAAGATATGATTCTATTGCAGGAAGTTATACAGGCAATATAAGTAAACACTGTATATTTAAAATGCCGTTTTTTACAAAACTAAACTGAGGTCTGTGCAGGAGGAAAGTGGTTCATTTGTACAGGCTGCTTTCCGTAATGGTGATATGAATGGTCACAGAAAGAGATTTTGGCAATAGCCATGAAATGAGAGCGAAAGTGAGTCTGCTTTTTAAGTAGAATTTCCAGAGAGCCCCCAAGTACCAAGGGCGTACTTATGTGATGTTTTGGGTTTCATTCTGCTGCCCCCACCACTTCTGACATGACTTAAGAACAGAGGACAGTTAACAGTCCACCACCGTGGTCTTGGCCTCCTGTCCTGGAAGTCTGCTGAGGACTTCCGTTCCTTCCACAAAGTGATCATTAACGATCATATTTAAATAAGCTGGTATCAGCTCAGTGAGGCCGCCTCGTTCCTCCAGCTTCCGCCATGGCCCTGATGGAGGGTTTGTGAGACATGTGAGCCCAGTTGGGACTTCTTGCTTTAACACAGGGTCACATCAGAAGGACATTCCTTCCCCCCAACCCCCGCCCCCACCCCCAGTGACAGCCTGGTTCTTTCCGGTCATTCCTTAAAGCAAGGACTCCCTTTCGCACCATGTATGCTTCTCCCTTTTCCTTTGTTTCTTTCCAGCTCGTCAAAAACACTCTCAAACGACCATCTGGAGAATTAGTTTCTACATCAACCTAAGCATAAATGAGTCCTCTAAACTTTGTTTGTGTTTTGTTCAGAATCAATGCTTTAGTCATGAACAATGGCAAAGCATAAAGATTTAAGAAGACAACACAATGAAGCAGAGGCCACTTCTTCAGTTAAAATACGTCTTGTCTGTCAGACCCATATATACCGAGTGGGGACAGGGTTGTGTGAGCTGGTACCATCTTTATGGAGGCTCTAAAAATGGACGTTTAGAAATATATCCTGAAGGATAACAGAACATGAGCTCAAAGACAGAAAATACGGCTGCAGTGCCCAGGGACCCTCACCCAGGAACCATGCACAAGGCAGGCATGAATCAGACAGGGTCCTGGGCCTCACGACGCTTGCTGCCAAAGTGATTTATAGCAGCAGAGTCTGGAAACAACCCGACTTTCAACAACGGGAAATTGGTTTGCTAAATGATAACCATTCAATGGAATACTCTGTGGCCATTAAAAATGTTGAGGGTCTATACTAATTAACTTGATAAAGGACTCACAATGCATTGTCTGCATTTTTTTTTAGAATCTTTAAACAAAAAGCCTTTATCAATGTTATAATCAGAAAAATCAATGAAAAGTATTCTCATTTTTTAAAAGGCCCATTTTCAGTGCCTGGTGGGTGTATAAATTATAGAAACAGCCCAATTCTGACATGTTTCTTTCACTCCCTTCTGGGGGAATTCTTCTGGCACAGTCTTTGACCCACCTTTGCTTGGCTGTCTTCTCTCTGGAGAGCCTCTAATTCCTGCCTCTGTGCCTGCGTGGGCTTGGCCCACTCTCTTTGAATGTCCTGTATTGCCTTGAAACAACATAAGTTGTAAAATTAGCAAACTTAGCAGAAATGAGTTAATCTGACACAACCATACTCAAGTATGAAAAACGGACCCAAGCAGACATCTATAAGAACCCAACCCTTTGTAAGAGTCGCTTTTTAAATCAGCGAGTGTAGAATGAGGTTGTTCAGTGGTTTAGGGAAGACAGACAGAGCTTGGAAGAGAAAACAGAAATAAAGTAGCTCTTCCCCCACACCGCCCAATCAGAAAAACCCAGAGACACTAAAGATCTAAGTGTAAAAACCATAAAAGAACCAGAAGAAAATAAAGGCGAATATTTGTATCTGATCTTGAAGTAGGGAATAATTTTTTGAGAGACAAAGACAAAATATCATAATAAAGGAATATATAATACATGAAAATATAAAACTTCTATGTATAAAAACCACCAAGAACAAAACCAACAAGTCAACGGCAAACCAGGGAAAAATAAGTACATCATATGAGGCAAAGAGTTCACACTATTTCTATAAAGCAATAGTAACAATGTAAACATTGGAAAGTGGGCAGGTATGTATCAGCATAGGACAAAAGAAATTCCAATGACAAATATATATTTAATCTCACTAGTAATCAAAGAATTTCTTCCCTCTCAACTTGGCAAAGACTAAAAAATATGTAACATTCAGGGCTGACAAGGGTTTGGGGAAACAGGAATTTTCACATAGAACTGATGGGATTTAAATCGATACAGTTAGCCTATCCTGCTGTATTGCATGTTAAAGAGTCTTCCGTTGGTCCTTGGCTGGGCGGTTAACCCCTCAAGGGAAGACCCTGGTCCTTCTCCTCAGTGTAACGTGTCCAATGTCTTATATACAGCAAACACGCAATAATTCTTTGCCAGTTATTGGGTGCTTACTTACACCGTCGTCTGAACACAAGTCCACCTGTTGTGTCCCTCCACGATACTGGCAGGGAGCCTTATCTCTAAGAGGAGAATGAAAAGCTGACTAAAGTTGTGACATTGCTGTTTAGGTTGGAAGAAAAGGAGATGAGTTTAGAGAGAAGAAAAATAATATTTGTTGAGACATTGTTTTAGAAAGATCTTCTCAATTACTTTTTCCAAACTATTCTGTTGAGGTAGGAAAATTACTCCCATTTTATCGATGGGTAAATTGAGGTGTAGTGAGGTTATGACTTTCAAGATGATCCAGCAAATATGTGGCCAGAGGTGGATTAACCCCAGATCTGACCACTACACCACGTGCTAACCCTCTAGAGCTGAGCAGCCACGCTCTGTTCAAGGAGGGAGGGACCTGTGCTCCGAGTCCCACCGCTGCACCCTCTGCAGGGGGCTTTAGAGTGTGTGACTGGAGCTCAGGAAAACCACGAGGTTTCCCGCGGCCCTCCGACCCGGGCCCAAGCCACTGAATTCTGCCCACACAGGCAGCTGCCCACCCCGAGACTTTCTCCTTGTTGCCAGCTGCTCCCAACACTGAGCCTCGATGCTGTATCAGCATGGAGTCAGCATGGGTGTGAGGAACTAAACACCTTCTTTCCCACATTCTACTTGCTGTTGGAGCCCTGTCCACACAGGGCAACGATGGCAAAGAGGAAGCCTGGCTGAGTCAAGAGAAATAGCAACTGTGACGCTAAGCACAAACCGAGGACACATCATTCATCTTCAGGGGACTTGGGACAGAGGTTTAAATGTCCTACAGAAGCAGTGACATAAATTTTTGTTTCACTACCATTGTCAGTGTTTGCCTCTGAGTGTGAGGTCACGAGTCATCACTCAAACACCTCATACACAGAGCCTCACTCCTGACGAGGAGAGAGTCAGCTTAGACAAACGCCTCGACTCCGTTACGTGGCTCACAGATGGAGACTCAGGCAGAACCTAATTTTTCAAACCATGTGAGAGGACATGTCCTGGTTCTCATGAGCTTCAGTCACACGTGCTCTAGTGCCCTCTGCAGAGGGTGCGGTAGTGAGGTGTGGAGCACATGTGCCTTTTGAGACAAGGTGTCGGCGGCTTGGCTCCAGCTGGTGAATGTGCAGCAGAGCAAGGCCCAGGAGGTGCGAGCAGCCTGAGCCCTGGGCCGGGACACGGGCCGTGGCGGAATCGGGAGGCCTCACCAAGCCACAGGCCCTGCCTGGAGGAAGCAGCACCTTTTACTAATTTCCACAGAGTTATCATACAGGCCAGCACATTAACGATTGCTCCTCACCCATTTACATATCCTAGGCACCCAGGACACAGCCTCTGCCTTTGGCCATTCAGAGCTAGTTAGGGACACACCTATGTGAACCAGTATTTATAACTCTAGGGGAGAAGTGCTGTAACAGAGGGTTTGAACACAGACCATGGGAGCAGAGAGGAGGGAGGCATTCTCTTCTGGGAGGAGCCAGGGAGGGCTTCCCAAGGGAGGCTGTGATTGTGGGCCCCTCCCTCCCGCTGACCTGGGCCCCTGTCGATTTCTCAGCACCTCCACTTAGAGTCGGGGATAATGATGATGACGATGGCAATGGCCCAGGTTAGTATGACATCAACTCCAACTTTTTGAAGACTTTGCCAGGAAAAGAGCTAAAGTTTAAATAACAATCTATTAAACCTGGGGGGCAACTAAAAGGCTATTAATTCAACCTCATCGCCTAACGGGGGGACATTGCAGTTTCAGCTCCAGAAAGACAGAGTGTCTGGTCCAAGGTCACACAGAGAGAAAGCCTGTGGCAGAGCAAGTGACAGAATGCATTTCTGAAACTGCAGTTCACTGTGTTTTCCACAAAGCCATCTTTTTCTCCAGCTATAAGCAGTAGAAATGCCACCTACTGCTCCCTGGTTTGCTACTCTTAATGAGGACAGACAGAAATCAGACTACAATGCTGGCAGTGCCCACCTCTCACCACAGTGAATCCCTGCAAACCGCGCCACAAAGACATGAACCATATTAGATTTAGATGATGCATTCTCAACCAAGGATGGAATAGCAAGTAAACCAGATGCAAGTACTAATGTATTACAACAGCAAGAATGAAATGGTGATGAGCCTCCAGAAACATTTAAACTGGTAAATTATGTGCCAACTTATATAACATGGGTATAAGTGCACTGAACGTGATTATACGTGCATCAAAATATAATATGAACTGAACTCCAAACCACAGTCTAGCCATAAAAATATAACAGTGAACATTAAACATTTATTGATATTTTGCTTTGCCTCCTTAAAATTTAGAAGAGCTTTGTAGGAGGGATTGGATCTTAGCCTCTTAAAAAGTCCCCTGAGGAAGGATGGGTATCGAGGCTGTAACTCCTCCTCCGACATTCTGGCCACTGGAGCCTGCTGTGCCTGCTCAGCCATGGACCCATGCCCTCGGCCCTGAGCCCAAACAGCCAAGTACCTGCACAGGCTTGTGGTCCAGGGGGGAGATGTAAACATAAATGATGTTTTGTTTTGTTACACTGATTCTCAGATACCAAGATTTTCTGTGACGCTAAGAGAACACTGTTGATTAAATGATGGCACAGTGCCTAGCAACAGGCACTGTACGGTCCAGAACCTGTCTGCCAGCCTTTTCTGGCTGGTAACTGCTTCCCTTTATTCCAAGGCAGTTAGTGACTTCTCCTGCCCTCAGCTGCACCACTCAGCCTGTGCTGGGCAGTCCATTTGCATATCTCTTAGTTTAAAACAGAGCAGTTTCCCCTCTCTGGGCACAAGAAGCACCTGGTTGTTGCTTTCCAAGAGAATATGGAACTGCAGTCATTTCTTCAAAGATGAACATTTGCTCTAATATCGAAGGAAGCCCTGCCATTCTGTCTTTGCCTTTCAGTGTAAATGATAACTCTCATTCTGTGCAGAATCACAGCGTAAACTTTTTGAAGTCAATTTAAGTGACATGTAACATATCAGCAATACACATAAGTCAACTAAGGAGAAAAATAATATAACAACTTTGTATCAGTTAGCTATTGCTACATAACAAAACACTCCCAAAATAAAGCATTGCTTAAACTAATGCAATTAAAGCAATATAATTGCTTCCAACAAAAATAAAAAACGAAAGTCACCTTGAAGTACGTGCTGAGGCTCTTTTCCCCTTCTATGTTCTTCAATAAGCCGAAACATCAAAAGCCAACCCTTTTCTTTCTTTTCTGTACCCAAAGTACTACAGTACACTCTATCAGTGTTCCCTTATCCCTTTGAAACACTCGATAAAAGTAATGACTGATCCTGTATTTCTCCTTTCTTTCATTTCAGTTTATGAAAAGCCACAAAGTTTAGCAGCTTAGAATCACACAACATAAGAGCCACTTGCGGTAAGCATTGTTAAATCCCCTTTCTACATCTTCTACACCCAAGCCTGTTCAATCTTTTGTCAGCAAACTTTATGTCTCTTCTTACAAATGTGGAGGGTACCAACTGCCTTGCAGACTTATTCTGCAGCTTACAGGAAACACAGCATTTACAACGATTAGCATAAGGTCAGGCCCACCACAGGGATTAATGCCAACTTTGTGCCAGGAACAGTTACAGTCTGGGGACACAGCAGTGACCCAACAAATGCCTCATTTCACAGAGAAATCATTCTAGTAGGAAGAGAGGCAGTAAACAAATATTTGAAAATACATATATAAGCGTATACATATACGTGCGCGCACCATGGTGGAAATGCTAAGAAGAAAATAACGAAGTATGGCAGGATGTGGGATTCGGTATGAGTGAAATGGAAGGACCTGGAGGGTGTGAACAGGGCAAGAATCTGACCGGCCACTCTGCCTGCTGTTTGAGAGCAGATGGTGGGATATTCCCACGGAACTCCTTAAATGAAGCTTCCACACCTCCCTCCCAGCATTGTCAAGAACAGCCTTGGAAAGGGTCAGGCGGGCAATGATGCTGACTTGGTGAAGCGAACACTAGGGGGAGCTGGTGAGGCAGGAGGGAGAACTGAGCTGGGACCCGGATGTGTAGGACACAGGCAGCACCTGCGGACCATCCCGCTGCTTGGCAGAGCCTTCACCACACGTGCGCGAGCCCAGGAAAGCAAAAGAGGTCAAGCTCCAAATTTACTTTTCTGGCGGCTGAGCAGTAGGGATAGGCAGGACCAACTTCATGATTTGCAGGGCCTAGTGCAAAATGAAAATGCGAGGTCCCTTGTTCAAAAATTAAGAATTTCAAGATGTGACAGCAAAGCATTAAACAAGCACTAGGCCCTTCTCAGCACATGGCCCCAGGCAGCTTCCCAGGCCACGTGCCCAGGGAGCTGGCGCTGGGGCAGCAACGCCCCCTGCCGGCTCAGGGAGAAGGGAGCTAATGCTAAAGGGAGATTTAGGGCCCCTGCGTGACTGAATTATTGGGGATCGCCTTTCTAGGCTCATGTAAATCAGTCTAGATGAGGGTGTCTCGGTGTCAAATTCAGACAGCGATTGTCCAAACAGAGGTGGATTCCTCTTTTTCAGTTGTTTTTTCTACAGTAGTAAAATACACACAACACTTTTCACTTTAACGATTTGTGAGTGTGCACTCTGGTGGCACTAAAACATTCACAGTGCTGTCACCATCACCACTCTCTGTACTGACAACTTTTTCTTCATCCCTGGCAAAGGTTCTGTACCCATTAACCACTAACACCTCCCCTCCCCTGGCCCCTGCAACAACCTCTGCTCTACTTTCTGTCTCTCCAAAATTGCCTATTCTAGGGATGGAGGTAGAATTCACTACTACAATTTTTTTTCCTAATGCTTTAAACCCAAATGGCCTATAATACGGGGTCCTACAGAAAGAATGCCCCTTTTTTATTACAAAATTGTAAGCAAGTAATTCTCCAACATAACAAAATCATACTCAAGCACACCATATGACATTTTAGGTGAAATGTTCGAATTAAAACTATAAATCATCGCACCCCTATTATTGCCCTCTCAACCACACTCCTGCAGGCCTTCCTTCTGCTGGACCCTGTATGTGGTGCTCCAGAGGTTCTGGGTTGCCCTCACCTGCATGTAGATCAGGTTCACAGCAGCTCTGCAGTCCATCAGCATGGAGTCGAGGGCTGGGTCCATGTACCTGCATGAGTCAGGAGTGTTAAGTCAGTTCCCATGACACGTTTCACGGGCACCCCTGGGAGCACGCACCCACCGTGCTCTCTGACCTGCTGGCTCCCTATGCCTTGAACCAAGGCCCCCTTTCTGGCAAAGCCCTGCCCCTCTCCCTGCCTAGCCTTCAATCTGTCCCTCACCTCTTCTCCCTAATTTTTTGATACTGTAAGCTCTTGCCTGGTGGGCATGGGCAGCAAAGATGCAAAAAGAGAAAGCTTCAGGGGAATGGTCCGCAGCCCTGTTCACACGCAGCCCCGTTCACTGGGAGACACCGAGTCCTGCGTGAGCTTCCCCACCCGCAATGCCTGGCACGTGCTCTCACGTGCCCGTACCCACACCCATATCGCCTCCCCGCCCCCAGGCCAGCCTCTTCTCTTGCCTGCACTGCTCTGGCAACCTGCTCACGGGGCTTCCTGCCTCAGTCGGGTCCCCTCCATCTCACACTCCACATTCTGACATGAGTGGTCTCTCCTGAGCAGCCTTTCATGCTCCCATAGTCCCAGCAGTGAAATCATGCACCCTGCTCATGTCCAGGCCCCTTCCATGTCCAGTCCCCTCTTTTACCCCACTCCCCTCCCCAACATTCTGCCTTCCAGCCATGTTTTCTCCCCTCTCCCCAATCCTGGAAGACCACTCACCTCACCAACATCTGTCCCGAACTAACTGCTTCTCCTGGCAAGGAGATCCTCATGTCCCCTCCTCTGGTGCCTGCTCTCCAAGGCTGTGTCAGGACCCCACCCTCTGTGCTTTCTCAGCCCCTGAGTTTAGCCTGACCACTGCTCTGATCAGGCTGATCAGAAGAACCCTGGGCCCCAGGGCAGGGTCCTAGTCAGGGGCCTCGGCAAGGTGACTTGCAAAGAGCAGGGTTCTGCGTGTGTCTAATGGCCCCAGAACCACCAGGATGAACTGGAGAAGCCCAGCTGAGAACGGACAGAAAGGGCAGGAAAGGGGGTGCCACGGATGCTCTGTAACCAGTCTGAAGGCAGAGGTAAGCAGAACCACTGCACTCGGGTGTGTAGGGTGAACAGACAGATGGAGGGGTTGGCTTAGACTAGGAAGAGGATGAAAATGTTCGTTGAAGATCACCTTCCTTCTGGGGTGTGGGGAGAAGCGGTCCTACTCATATTCTGTTTACTATTTCACTCATGCATCCCGGGGCCCCTGTGTGGCAGAGGACACCAACTGTTAGTCAGAGAGTCAGACACCCCCCAGACTGGGGCTCTGAGAGGCCAGGGAGGGCACCCTCTGGTCTGGAAGGAACCGTATCACCACTGGAGAGATGCGCCAGGGAATTCATGGGCAGAGGAAGATCCCTAAGATGTTCATTTTCCCTAGTAAATGTTCTGTACCTGTTAAACAATAACTCCTCTCCTCTCTTAGCCCCTGGTAACCTTCTACTTTCTGCCTCTCTGAATTTCTTCTAGGTATGGAGGTAGAATTAACTGCTACAATTTTTTTTCCAATGGTTTAACCCATTCCCAGCAGGGTGAGGCTGCACCTGCTGGGAATCCCACAGCCCCTGCCCCCATCCTGTAACACTTCGCCCTGGGAAGCGGCCAGGCACCTGCAGGACCCTGCGCCAGGCTCCCCCTTTCCGGTGACCTGACCCTCACCTCCAACAACAGACGTGAGGCTCCTTTCTCCAGTTCCCGGGATCAAAGGCCATCTGCCTGCATCTGAGATGCTGGCTTGTAAGTAGACATTTTTAAAATTATTTCTTTCCATTACCATTTACCCTCCCATGCAGGTGGACATTTTCTCTTGCACTTACAATCTAGAATTCACCTAGTTAATGAAGACATAGACACCGGGAAAGCCCAGTTTCCCATTCAAGCTTCAAGGTGAGGAGCAGAGTCTTCATCTCCCCTCTGACCTCACGCTCTCCAGAGAGCTCCTGAGCAGCAAGTCTCGGCCCCAGCGGTTTCTGCCGTTGGCATGCTCCTCATTACCGTCCTCACAGTAACAAGGACGAACAAGACCAACATTTTCTGAGCGTATGGGATCACTTTGTTTAAACCTCACAATAACCCTATGAGGCTCATGACTCTGTTACGACTCCCATTTTACAAATAGAGAAACAGAGTCTTAGAGGGAGTGAGTAACTGGGCTGAGGTTGTTCAGCTAAATCCCGAGAGAGCTGGGACTAAGATTCACAGACTCTGGTCCCAGGAACAACTAACCATGCTCAGTCACTCGCTGGACTGAGCGGCTTCCATAAGCACAGCTACTCTGGAAACCCTTAGATGGAACTGCTAAGGGTTTTTCCTTTTCCTTTTCTCAGGGTTCCATACCATGGATTTTGACCGTTTCTCGGAATATTTCTGAATAACAGTAAATGAACTTCTAGCCTTGCTGGGAACATCCTTCCAAAATCAAAACCGCAGACCAGAGCCTCTCGCGGGGCATCACGAGGTCAAGATAACTACTATTCCTAGATTTCAAAAAGCCTTCCTTTTAATCTGCTGTGCTCAGATTACAGAATAACTACACTGGGAGAGAGTGAACCAAAGACGCAACCCAACACACAGCCACGGCAATCAGCACGGAACCACAGGTTATAGGTTATGTGTGTGTGGGTGGGGGGGTCAGGGGAGCGTCCTGCTCCTAGTTCTCTTCTGTGTGCTTGCTCTCCAGAGGGCCCTCGGCTTCTGGGGGAAATGGTGGTGTTTTCTGCAAGGTTCCCCATCAGTGTAGGAATAGGGCAGGTCCTGCTATACATGCATTTATTTTTGAAATGCTTTTGGAATGTAAGCCAACTACTTAGAGTTCAAATGCACTTCAAGTTGGCTGAGCCCTCCCTTTGTCTCCAGGGAACAGTTCAACACAGTTCAACAGATGAATCAGAACTGCTCGTAATCAACAAATTCCTTCAATTAGTATAGTCAGTAATCCATTCCCAGGCAAGCCCACAGCCTGCAGTGCCTCACCATTACCTGTTTCAACCCCAGCCCCAAGAGCCCTTGTTTTTCAAGTCTTACCTTCATGGCCTCCTTCCTCATGCTAAGATCTCAGAGTATTTACCTGAGACCAGTGGAAGTCACCCTTGACCTCCTACCCTTTAGGACAAACAGTGTCATCATCGCCCTCTCTGCCTTCTTCACTGCTTTCCTCTTTGCACTCCCTAAACTCCTCCCTGGTCGCTCGCTAGCTGTTGGGCTAAGGGCGACCCGGTGAAAAGGACAGGTCCTGATCAGCGATGGTCATTCGGCCTCACAGGCCCGCTGTCCCAGCGCTTACTCACCACTTCCTGAGTCCGACCTTGCAGTCTTCCGCCTCAGAACTCAGAAGACTCACGTAAGGGAGTTCGAAGTCCGCTAGTTTTTTCATGACTAGAGAAAGGGGAAAGGGAGTCTCACTGGTTGCAACAGCACAGAGAGCCTACATCCAGTGGCTTTAAAGTGAGGACAGAAAGCATTACTCTTGGAAAGCATAAAATATGATAATAATATTCTCTTGCATGTCTATGTAATTTTTAGCTTTCTGAAGTTTATTCAAAAAGTAAATAACATCTTATCTTCATAAAATACCAGCACCTCGAGTGAGTAGCGTTTTACACTAAGCTATGGATGAAGAAACCGAGGGCCGGAGAGGCCCCGTGCCTCAGCTGGCACAGCCCAGATCCTAGCGGCCACGCCCACACACCAACCCCTCACCTTCCAGCTAAACCCACCTCCCCACGGCTTCGTGAGGACACACGTGAACTACGCTGAGATCACTGATCGCGTATCACAACTAAAAAACTTGCACTATCTGGAAATGTTCTGTAGAGAAAAGCAAAAGCTATGTGAATTGGACTGTCATCTTTTACTATCATGTATCTTTTTTTTAAATCCTTACCCGAGGATCTATTTATTGACTTTAGAGAAAAAGGAAGGGAAAGAAGGAGAGGAAGGGAGAAACATCGATGTGAGAGAAACATCAATTAGTTGCCTCCCATATGTGCCCCGACCAAGTACTGGACGGGCAACCTAGGTATGTGCCCTCACTCGGAATCGAACCCACAACCTTTTGGTGTATGGAACCACACTCCAACCAATTTAGCCACCCAGCCAGGGCTCATATATCTTCTTGAAGAATCTGGGAAGTTATTTATATCACCTGAACTTCACAGCCAGTACTCCCTAACAAGGGAAAGGACGGTGTGATGGGATGCCCTGATGCCTGGGGTCTGCCACTCCGTTCACAGGGGGTTATGGTGTGGCTGCGGGTCAGCAGCCAGGTGCACTGGTGCAGGGAGGACGGACATCAGGATTGGGACCAGTGGGGGCACAGGAGGAGTGCAGGTCCTGGAAAGACCCGACTTCTCACTCCTGTCCATGCCCCTTCCCTGGAGCTACTCGTCCCCAACTCTCCCTGCCCACAGATGGGACCTCCTGCCCCTGAACTTTCCATCTAGGAGTGAGGGACAGCAGTAGGGACCATACACTGGGGACTTCCCCTGGGGGTGGGCGGCTCCCCAGTGGAGCCCCTGCCCACATGGCATTCCTGTTGTCCTTCTTACCAGAGAGCTTGCCCTCCTTGCGAAACCGAATGAGAAAGAGGCCAAAGTAGCCCAAGAGCTCCGGACACAGTCCAATTTTGTGCGACACCACCTTGAACCAACGACAAGAAAAGGGGGTGGGGTTGGAAGTGCCCGCCACGGGTACTGAGAGGTTCCGAATCTGCGGCTGCCTGTAAACACAATAAAAAGTGCTTTAATGAGCTAGCAGATATTGAAGGAAATGTTTTCAGAATCTAAAATGGTACATACTTGTTTTACAACATTTCAAAATTAGTAAGAAATAGAGTGACAGAAAAAAATCTATCCCATCACAACGACATTAATGGGCCTCAGCTGAGGCTGGTTGTCCCATCTCAGAGGTCGTTTGAACTTCGTGGTCCGCTGGAGGGCAGCACCCACTCTGCACGAATGTCTGTCCGATATTTACCTTCCAGTGGGCGGAGTTACCAGATACTGGGAAAAGGGATATTCCCCCCTGCTTGGATGTTCTATAAAAGTCTACGAGCTACGAGCCTTTGACACCGGAGGTCTGCTTCTCTCTGATGTCGCCTGTGATGTCCAAGCCTCATTTACATGGCGCTGGCCCAGTGAAATCCTCAGATCCCAGGCACGGACTGCCCTCCTTTCATATTCTTTTTTGACCTTCACATCAAAGGGCTTTCATTTCAACACTAATGGGTGGGTTACTGATAGGTCACAAGGGTATAGCCTCAAATGTTCCTGTAGCAGGAACTTCCGTGCCACCCCAGACTCCTTCCCTCACCACTCACCCACCCCCACCTCTGCCCCTTTAAACCTGGGCTCCTGAGTGACTTCTTTGCATGCCCCACCTGAATTCTCTAGATCGTCTCTAACACGCAAGGATGTACCCTTACAGCACCGTGGGTGAGCCAACACTTGAACCACAGCTCCAAGTTCTCGTGGTGGAAGTTATACAAACACCAGGGAGACAGACTCTCCTTGTCAGAGATCTGAAAATCACTGCATTTTGCCGTGCATGCAGTGCAAATAATTGCTGTGCAATTATTTCTTTATTTATATTTACAAACAAAACCAATTATCGTATTCCAGGATATTATTTTGCACATGGATATCATTATTGCTTTCTAGAGTTATACTGTTAATGCATAAGCATAAATAAAAGAATTAAAAAACATTTATATAGATAAGGAACTAGTACTACCCATGTATAATGCGTGTCTTTATTTTTCCCTCAAAAATTTAGTCAAAAAAGTGTGCATTATACACAGCAAAATACAGTACCTCATACATACAGTCTTATGAGGCAGATGGCATGAGTGGGTGCTCCCAGTGTAGCCTTGTAAGTGAAGAGCCTGGAGACTTTTCACAACTCTCCCCCAACACTTATCCCCATTCTCCTTTCTCCCTCATTCCCCTCCCCACATTGCAAACAAGAACGAACTCAGGGCCCCACTGTGGGGGTCGGAGTGGGGCATGAGTGTGCGCTGGTAGGTAACAGGTTACGTCTTGTCCTAGAGTAAACGTGGCCCATGGCCACTCAAATCAGATTTCTCTTCTCTGACTCCGTCGGCGGAAACAGCAAGCTTACAGGCGAAAGCAGAGGCATGAGAAAGAAGAATGGAGTAGCTCTTATCATTTATGACGACATAAATACGAGCAGCTTCTTTTGAGAGGAGTAAGCATCTACAAACTGAGACAATAATAATTTCCATCCCAGCAAATGTTAACGATGCTCCACAACACAAACAGCAATAAAATGGCATTAGCACAAATGCATAAACAACAACAACAAATATTTTTTAGCTTATTGCAGGTCCTTGAAGAGCCCAGCATGATGGGGGGTGCGGGGGTCGGGAACAGCGGAGAGAGAGTGGCAGCAAGTACGCATGAGGAGACGCTGACTGGGATTTTTAACTACAAAGTCTGAATTACATTGTCGTGCGGATGAGAGAACTTCCAGCCCCTGGAAGAGAATACACACATCTGCCGGCCAAGGGCTCACTGTACCTGTTGTGGAAACGCCATGGCTTTAAGGGCAGAACCTCCAGTCAAACCTACCTGATGCTAATGACGTCAGAGTCATGGGTGAGTCTCTACAGGCCAATGTGATTGGAAGAGAGGAAGTGCATCTTTCTGAGATCACAAATGTGTCTAATTAAACTTATGTTCTTAGTCACAGGGGGACTGGGCAAAAACAGATGGCACGGTGGGGCCCTACCCTCACTGCCCAACGCAGTGCTTACTCAGCACTACCTCTAACAGTGATAATTCCAATGATAATAAATACCCAGAACCACCGCTATTGATGGAACATGAGCTGTTTCTATACTTACTCAGACATTGTCTTGAAACATTAAGTAACTTACCCAAACTCACACAGCTATGATGTGACAGCACTGTCATTTGAATCCAGGACTTGTCCTAACCTGAGCACACAGGAGACCCGAACCTGCCACCAGCAGCCAGCAGCAGGTGCGCCTGGGCCAGCGAGCCCAGGGTGCACCAACGCGTCCACGATGATGTCGCCGGGCAGGGCAGGTGCTCCAGGGCTCCACGGGCCGACCGTTCTTGAATCATCTCACATCTGCCCGCAGCACCTGAGCTACCCGCCTGGCCCCAGAGGCATCTAGTTTATGGTCCCTACCCCGCCACCGTCCTTCTCCTTCATCTATGTGTCCGTCGCCCATTCTGTGGGTCCCAGGAGGGCAACTGAAGGAACTGTGTGTGGTTGGTGGGGGTGGGCCTGGAGGGGCAGGGAGTTGGTATAAATCCCCTCAAGCATTAAGCATATAGGCCTTTGATCCTTTTTAGAAAGATCATTCTGGAAGTCTGTGCAGAAGATTAGCAAGACTGGAAGCAGGAAGACTATTTCCCGGGCTGCTGTAGAAATCTGGCTACAAATGATGAGGGCTCGAACTAGGGGCATGGAGGTTGAGAGGAGAAGACAAGAGAACAGGGGTGACTAGGGGAGAGATGTGGGGTGCCGTGGCAGGAGGAGCCAGGGGTGAAGGCGGAGGCGTCTGGGAAAACTTCTCAATGGATGCACTCAGCAGCTAGGTAGCTGCTGACGCCAGGCGCCAGGGCCACAGAGCCACGGTGCAGGGGCCATGAAGAGGTTGGGGTGGGGAGTGCTCGATGACTTCAGCAGGAAGAAACGTACAGAATGGTCACGCTCAGGCAGAGCCTGCATCTAGGGGAAGGGTGTTTCCCATCTGGGAACACAGCCGGCTCTCCCGAGGCCAGAAGGATCCGCGTGGGCTGAAATCTCCAGGCCAGAGAGAGTCGCCATGCAAAGAACCCTCCAATGCACACACGGCCTCAGGTAAAGGCCACCTGACCTGAGGAGAGCTGGGAGCCCCACGGGGAGCACTTCTGCTCGTTTCAGTCTCAGAAGGCGGCAGACGCCATGACCCCAGCACAAGAACGATCTGTCTTTGGCAAGGTCCTAGAAACTTTCCCACTTCCTCCTGTTTATAACTTTTTGTTCTCCTGTGTGTTTCTCTGGAGGATTAGAACTGAAACCCTCCGAAGGAAAGGGGCCTGGGAACAGCGTGTGGATGTGAGAAGAGGGTGTCCCCTCCACAGCTCAGAGGCAGGACAGGCCCAGGGGCAGGGCTGGCCACGGCCACGTCTGAGGGAGGGGCACGTCTCTGGGTTTCGCTCTCAGAGTCCTCAGGGAACCAGCTAAAACTCAGGTCTGCCACAGAATTGGACCTGCCGGGGTGTTGGTTTCAGGGCTGGCCCTGTGAGGGAGGAGGGACAACTCTTTGAGCCTTTGAGGAAGCCGCATCACTCTCTCCCAGAACCTGTCGCCAGCCCACCTGGGTGCAGCCTGTTTCGGGCTCATCTGGGCACCAGCCTCCTTCCTGCTCCCAACCATGGGGCACCCCGTAGCCCCATAACAGAGCACTTGGCTTATTTCCAGAGCACATCCCTGGATGAGTTGGGGGGAACTGAAGGTAGCTTTAGAAAGGTCCTAAGAGATCTCCAGAAAGTTGATGCCCACAGGGAAAGTAAAAACAAAGAGGCCTTGTGAGCCCTGGCCAGGTAGCTCAGCTGATTAGAACATTGTCCAAATATATCAAGGTTGCAGGTTCAATCCCTGGCCAGGGCACATGCAAGAATCAACCAATACATGCAGAAATAAGTAGAACAACAAATCTCTCTCTGTGTCTCTCTGTCCCTTCCTCTCTCTCTCTAAACGATTAATCCAAAAACAATTTTAAAAAGTTGTTGGGAGCCCTGGCTGGCGTAGCTTAGTGGATTGAGCGTGGGCTGCGAACCAAAGTGTCGCAGGTTCGATTCCCAGCCAGGGTACATGCCTGGGTTGCAGGCCACAAGCCCCAGCAACCGCACATTGATGTTTCTCTCTCTCTCTCTCTCTCTCTCTATCTATCTATCTCCCTCCCCTTCCCTCTCTAAAAAAATAAATAAATAAAATCTTTAAAAAAAAGTCGTTGGGGACTGGCTGTAGGTGAGACTCAGCCAGTCTACCAGAAAACCCCAGCATCTCTGCAATAAGTCATCCAGAAGGACGTGGTTGGCAGGAAGCTTCCAGAAGGCAACTGTGCCCTAGTCCCTGCCTTCAAACACTGCTTCCTGCATTCAGTTCTGGGGCTGGAGTTTAGGTGACGTTTACCTCTAGGACTCTTTCAGCGGTGTCTGACGTCAGGATTTCAACGCGAACGCTCCTTCCATCGGGCAGAAATATGTCCAGAGAGGCTTTCTTGGTAGGGATGCTGAACGCGTCCTGTGAGCAAAGGAAAAGCACGATGAGCCCCACAGAGACCTCAGTGGGGTACCTTCTGTGGGTGACAGTCAGCAGTGTCCTCTCCCCGGGCCCTGAAGGTCTACAGTACCCAGAAGCACATGAGAGACCAGGGTAGAGGTTGGGGGGTGGAGTTTGGGGAGACAGGGTGGGGATTGGGAGGGGTGTGGAGAGGGTCCAAGGCAATGGAATGACACGTAGCTTGAATGATTACCAAATAAACAACACTTTAGAAAAAAAATCATCTATGTGACCCTTGCTGGTTTCAGATTTTTAACTCTCATGTTTAATACTTCCAAGCATCCCTAAAAGCCCATAAAATGCTTTAATTTATGATTCTGCTACAACAAAAATCAGAAGTGTGCAAGCTCTGAAGCCCGTATGTGGAAGCAAGCTGGTACCTGCATACGGGCACCCGGCCGAGGACACACACCACCCACTCAGCACAGCTCTGCTGTGCCCCTGCGCCCGTGAGGGCATGCGTGTAGGCTAGGGGTGCGCGCAGGTCCCAGGACCTGAGAGGTTCTTGGACAGAATGCTCTAAAATGTCAAGGGCACAACAGAAACACTGGGAGGCCATCAGAGTTTAGGAAAGTTTGAAGCTGAAACGTGTTGGTGCTCAGTTTCCATAAAGAGAAGGACCTCAGGAGGAGGCATGGCCAGTGCCCGCCCAGGCGGGCCTCACAGTGGGTGCTGCATCTGGAGGCGTGCTCTTTCTAGCACCTCACAAATGGGGTCCCGTCAGTTCACAGAGCTGCCTCGTGACTCAGGTCACAGACTTTCTCGCCCGGGGCTCTGTGACAGGATTAACCCCTAATGCCCTGATATCCACTGGATGCAGTGAGCCCACTCTCTCCTAGGCATTTAGAATCGCACCAGTTGTGGGTCATCCTTGGGAGAACTGAGAAATGAAAGGGGAAAAATAAAACCATCATGAAAATCTTATCAGAAGAGGCAAGAAGAGACATGACCAAACACAGTTGGAGCATAAGGCTTTTGCATAAAGATATAAAGGTAAAATACCAAGAAAACTAAATTATTAGCAAAAAAGACACTCAAAACAAAGCTCCAAGTCATTGGCGCCCATGAGTGGTTTTTAAAAAGCACAAAAGCAAAGCCACAACGTGCACACAAAGAGGGGAGAGAACCCAGGCCAATCACCCCTCTGTACTGACATGCAATGATTCACAAGTGTGAGCTTTAAAACACAAGACTCAGACAGCAGGAAGGAGTATGTGCCTATGTGTAAAGCAGAAAGGAGGCGCACACACAGGAATGCTGGTGTGCGTACAGAAACGTGAGGAACACCCACTCAGCTGTAAGCCGCAGTGCCTCTGAGGCCTCTGGTGTCACTACTATCGTAGACCCTTGTGTGCTGGTTGAGTGTTGCTGCCATCAGGACAGACTTTCCAAACAAAAGGAAAGTGTGTGTGTGTGTGTGTGTGTGTGTGTGTGTGTGTGTGTTTTGTAAACCATCAAATATGGTATAGGGGAAAATACAAATGGCTACACCAGAGAAGCCTCTAGGGTCACTTCTCAGGTTGAGCGGACCAGTGTGTTTAGCAACACAGTTGAAGGACTAAATAAACGAAATTTGCTTCCACTTCTTACAAATCTTATCAAGTTATTATTTTTCCCCAACCTAGGGAACCTGGATTCCCTAATAATAATATCATATTGAATAATATCATATTATTGTACAACGAGGCCTTTCGAAGTTCTTCCATTCAGCCACATACATACCTTCAGGCATGAAAATGTGCGCATATTTACAACTAGAACGAGTGGTGCGCTAAACAAGGGTCTTGGCAAAGTTCCAGCCTCCAGCGGACACGCTGGAAGTGGTTCAGACCGGCAAATGGGAGCGAGATGCTGTGTTTCCATCTGCTCCCATTGGATTTTCTCTGTGACCCACTTACAGTACAGGGTTGGCAAAAGTAGGTTTACAGCTGTGAATACTCTTGTATTATTATTTATTAATTATTGTATTACTTTCCACGCGAACAACTGTAAACCTACTTTTGCCCTGCTCTGTACAGCAGGGAGCAGAGAATCTACAGGTAAAGGGGCCATGACCATCGGTGCTACCCTGCTGGCTTCCCCACGGCACGAGTGGAACTATCCTCTGCAGAAACTGCATCCCTGCTTTGCTGCAGGGCCCTTAGTGATAAAAGGTTCTCTTTTCCACGGTCAGTTTCGAAGTGTACGATGCTTAGACAAAAAAAAAAAAAAAGTTACCCGCTTTATTAAAATGAGCTTTAGCTCATTAAGTGTGCCATTAAGTGACACACTTAATTTTCCATCCAGAATCTAAACCTCCGAAAGAATGAAATAGGACCCACCCTCCCATGGGCTCCAAATGAGTGTGTTTTACCTGAGTCCAGGCTCTGCTGGGCTGATGCTGGAAACACGCGTGTGGTTAACGAAGAGACCTATGCTGCTGTGAAATAATGACCTTAGTAAAGAAGAGCAAGCTTACCAGCTGTACCAGTTTTAAAAAGTCAGTGAAGACGTTGCTTCTCAACACGTTCGGGTCCATGGTAACTGGAAAACATGGAGAGCAGGCCAGGTTAGCATGGAGCTGGGTTGACTTCCGGTTACACCACTCTGACCTCCAGGGGGCCCCCAAGCCCGGCTGCCCCCTCGAAAGCAGTAGAGCGGGTGACCTCTCAAACACATGAAACGCTGCAAAGCTCGCTTCCTCCGGGCAGCCTTGATGATGACGTTGACCCATCATACCAACCCCAGGCCTCGCTTTATCCATGCACGCCCGAGTCGCTGGCCACAGAGGATGCACAACTCATGCTGACGATATGGATAAAGGCCTGGCCTGGGAAGCTGCCCCCTCAGGCACTGTGATCACTTGGGAAAAGGCCAGTGTTTAAAGGAGCATTTCTCTAAGATGGGAGAAAAGAAACCAAGAGAGAATGAAAATTCAAAAAGTATTACATTATGAGCTTAAAAGAGTTTATTGAAAAGGGCTGAAAGAGGTGTACTCTCCACTATAAAAGGCGAGTGGGAAAGAGATGACTTCTGGAATTTTCATTTACTGTGCTTAAGAAAAATGTGCAGCTATGAGAAGTGACAAAGTAAATTGGTAATTGCTGACCTAGGATGATCTATAAGATATATATTTTAAGAGAAAAAACAGCATAAAGAAGAAAAATCTTTTTTTTCTTTTGCTCTGAAGGACACCAGTGGGATAGTTGGTGAAGTTGGAATAAGGTCTCTAGGTAACTTTATTGTATCACTATGAATTGCCTAATTTTGATAACTATACTGTGGTTATAGAAAGGAATAGCCTTGATCTTAGGAAATATGCACAGAAGTATTTAAGGGTGAAGGGCCTTGTGTGTGAAACAATGTATCTCACAAAATCACATGTAATATATATGAATATGTACACACACATGCGGGAGAGTGAGAGAATGATAAAGCAAATGTAAAATGTTAATATTTGGGAAGTCTGGGTGAAGAGTATACAGAATTTTGCATTAATTTTTTGCAACTTTTTTTAAGTCAGAGAGTGTTTCAGGATAAAAAGTTTTTAAAGATCAGACACAGAAAAATATGCAGAGTAAGTTCCAGTTAGTGTTGGATAATCAGGCATGTACACCAGTAGATGCACAGACGGTTTCGGAGGGACTCCCAAGCCACCTGCCTGCAAGAGTGTGCACTTCCAGAAGCCTGGGGGTCCAGGGTGGAAGGGAATGTACCTTTCATTGTATCAGGTTGACCCTCGAACAATGCGGGGGTTAGGCATGCTGACCCCCATGCTGTCGAATACCACTGTATGACTTCTGACTCCCCCCAAACTTAACTACTAATCACCTCCTGTTGACCGGAAGCCTTACTGATAAGACAGTCAATTAGCATGAGTTTTGTATGTTATATGTATTATATTCCTTATTCTTACAATAAAGTGAACTAGAGAAAAGTATTTTAAAAACCAAATAGAAAGGCCACACATTACACGCTTCCATTTATCTGAAACGTCCAGAACAAGAAGAGCTGTAAAGACAGAAACTAATGGCGTGGGCGAGGGGGGCTGGTAGCAGAGAGAACTAGGGGGTGACTTGGGATAGGTGTGAGGTTTCTTTTCAGAGTGATGAAAATGCTCTCAAGTTAGATCACGGTGCCGCTTGTGCAATCCTGCAAATACACTAATAATCACTGAATTGTACACTTTAGGTAAATGGATTTTATGGTCTGCAACCTACATCGCAATAAATTTGTTTCAAAAAATACCTACCATTTTGCAAATACTGCTCCAACTGGTCCCTTCTCTCATTGGCCATAGACGGGGTCATCGCGAGATAGAACTTTGGTGGAAAGGGAGGCAAGCCATTTCCAAAGACCCGTCTCAGCTGAAAGATCCAGAAAACATACACTGAAGGCAAAGAACCTCCAATTCAAGGTTGGTGAGGCACCCAAGACTCCTCTTAGGGCACGTCTCACTCCGGCGCTTTATTTAAAATTAACCCTTCCCAGTGGCCAAAGGGAAGAAAGAGGGATACTTTGACTGGCTTATGGAGGAATTTATCACAGTACAGGTTTCCAGAGACACCATCACACACATCACAGAATGACAACTCCAGGATGAGTTTGGTAGATTTGGGGTGCATTTTAATTTTTCATTTGTTTTTACAAAACTGCCTACCACTCACATCATACAATATGTCTTTAATTCATACCCCAATGGTATCCGTGATATTAATGACAGTGGTTAGGAATTTAATTCCCCACCCCACCCCTACCTCCACCTCCATCAAATAACAGCAAACATAACAGCAAATGTTTACAGTGGTGCTAATATGGGAGTCGGCAGCCACTAGTCACCTGTGGTGAACAAGCACTGCAGATGTGGCTAGTCCACGTTGAGATGTGCTGCGAGTGTAAAAACGCAATGCACATTGCAAAGGCTTAGTCTCTCAGAAAGGGGAATGTAAGTCCCAGGGAGGTAGCTCAGTTGGTTGGAGCGTCATTCCAAACACCAAGTGTTGCAGGTTGGATCCCCAGTCAGGGCCCACACCTAGGTTGCAGGTTTGATCCCCAGTACGGGAGGCAACCAATCAATGTTTCTCTCACACTGATGTTTCTCCCTCTCTCTAAAATCAGTAAATAGATCCTCAGGTGAGGATTTAAAAAGTTAAAAAAGAGTAAAATGTCACTCTAATAATTTTTATAGATTACATGTTGAAATGATAATATTTTGAATATACTGGATTAAATATAATACGTTATTAAAATTAATTCCACCTGTTTCTTTCTATGGTTTTTAAGCAGGCTACCATAAAACTTTAAATTCCCTATGTGGCTCACATTATATTTCCATCGGAAAGTGCTGGTTTATAGATTCCTAGAAGGCTGACATATGATCTCACTAGAAATCTAGTCAGGCCCCTCCCTCCCACCCACCCACATGTGACTGAAGACAATGGCAATTATATGTATGCAAGCTACATGGAGGATGCATTAAAAATAATCTTTAAATAACCAAAAGGGCATGTGCCTTCATTCCAGCCCTACACTTAGAGTGGCAGTTTGCAGATAAGGCATGGCGTCGCTCCCTTTAAAGCAGGAGAGAGGAAACCAGTCCGAGACCCAGTCAGGTTTGATCAAGTTCCCTCCAAAGCAGAGGGCTGCAACTCCTACTATTACCACAGTCAATGGCTTAAAGACATGAAAGCAGATCTAAGAGAAATGAGACTGCAACCAGGTAAGGGTTTTAATTCCATGGCTTTTGTTACAAATGCAGGGTGTATTTGGCCAATATTTACCTCGCATAGGCCTTACCTTCATAAATGCGTGGAGAATCTGACCACTTTTCCCTGCCCCACTGCTGTTGCCCTGGTCCATGCCCCGTCATCTTTTTTCAGATTACTGTAGCCTTCCAAGAGGTCTCTGTTTACACCATTAACTCCCTCAGTCTGTTCCCACTGCAGAACCTAAGCTGGTATTCCACAGTGTCAGTCAGATCACTGCTCTGCCCTGCCCTGCTCAACACCCTTCCTGGTCCCCCACCGCACTCGAGTGAAAGCAAAAAATCCTTAAAATGACCTAGAACTGTGCTATCTAACATGATGTCCATTAGCCACCTATGGCTACTTAAATTTAAACTTAAATTAAAATGAAATAAAACTTAAAATTCAGTTTATCAGTCACACTAGCCACATTTCAAATTCTCAGTAACTACCTGAAATGTGGCAAGTTCTTACTGAATTGGACGAAGCCGATGTAGAGCATTTCCATCGGCACAGAAAATTCTGTCGGACAGTGTGGGTCTAAAAGCTACAAAGTTTTCCACTTTCTGACATGTTTTATTTGGGCTGCTAGATTTTGGTTTGCTTGATTTTTAGAGAATTTGAATTTGATTCCAATATTAACTCTGTGGTTCAAAATGCTTATCACTCGTGTCCTGCAGGAAATACAGAATGGTACGGCCACTTCGGAACAGTCTGGCAATTTCTTACAAGCTAATGTTTACTATGCAATATCTAGTAATCACAGTCCTGTGTATATAGCCAACAGATTTGAAAACTATGTCCACAAAGCATGCATGTGAGTGTTTATAGCTCCTTTATTCATATCTACCCAAAATACGAAGCAATCAAGTTGTCCTGCAATATGTGAATGGATAAACAAACTGCGGTGTATCTAGACGATGGAGTATCATCCAGCAATAAAAGGAAATGAGCTACCAAGCATTGAAAAGACATGGTGAAAACTTAAAAGAAGATTGATAAGTGAAAACAATCTGGAACAGCTGTAATCTGTTTCATTTCAAATATATGACATTTAAAAAAAAAAACAAACTTACAGCGATAGTGAAAAAGAAAATCATGGTAACCAGGAGCTTGGGGTAGGAGGGTGTTGAGTGGGCGAAGCACGTGGGAGTGTTCAGGGCAGTGAAACTATTTCGTATGATACTGTCATTGTGTGTACATTCATCATATTACACATTTGTCAAACTTATTACACTTCACAGCATGACTTAATGTGCAAAAATATCTGGAAAATAGTTAGGAGGTGGGGAAAACCCCAGGATGGAATGTGGATGTGACAGAAGAATTTAACTGCATCACAAATGTATGGAACGTAGCAGTGAAGGGGGAAAGGAGCCGACCTCAGCTGCTTCGGGAGTGAGTGGAGTCTGCGCAAGCTGAGGCCAAAGAAACTGCCCAGAGGCACCGTGCTGCCGTAGACAACGTCGTCTCCCATGGGCGCACAGGTTGACAGTTCTAACCCTGCTCTGTGTGTGGGCAGAATCGAACAATTCAACAAAAAGACGGCAGGTGGTGGGAACCAGGTTTCTCCAGTTGGATGGGAGCTTTCAGAAAAGTGAGGTGAGGAGGCACCGGTGACCCATGTGCTAATGGACTATAGTTGGAGATGTTGGTATGGACTCATGTGTAGTTTAACAGAGACCCAGACAGTTAAATATTAAACTATCTATAGATATGCTCTGCACACATACGGGCCTTACTTTGTCAGCTGAGAGGGCCTGGCAACGGCAACACTGCCACGGCAAGGACGCACCCAGCACCCACATCTCGGCTTCTAATCCTGTTTGTTCTCCAGTATAAGCTACCGGGGCTCCGTGGGGAAATGGCTGAGGTAGGAAATGTGAAAGATGAATCTGAAGCATCTTGCAGCACCAGAAAATAAGAAAATACTAAAAAAAATCAACAATAGGGGTATATCAAAGAGACACAGGAGCAAAGTGAAAGAGTTCCCACAGGCCAAAGCTGGGACAATTTGAGCAGCAAAATAAAGTCATATTGAAGTATAACCCAAAGTATAAAGTAGACGTCCAGGAGCCCATATGAATGCAAATAAATATTGAATAAATAAAAATATAGGAGAGAACAGACAAATCTCCTGTGCAGAAGAACCCAAATAATTCATAGGGACACGCATTCACAAGGAGCCTGAGCATAACTCCCAACTCCTTAAGCGTGGGCTACACGCAGTGCCTTCCAAAGAATACCCTGTGGAAAGAGAGATGAAAGACTAACTTCGCAGTGGCAAAACCTGATGATGACTACCACAGCCAGGCGATCAAAGTCAACATCAACAGTGATAAGTCATGTGGAGAGTAGGTAGGTACTCTTGATATGATGTGATTAGAATGGCACTTGACCTCTGGGGCCACCCTACCCCTTGTAGTCACATGAAACATCAGATTCCAATAGAGGGACCTTCCACAAAACGCCGAACCAACACTCCTCGAAACAGTCAAAGTCATTACAAACAATGAAAGTCTGAGAAACTGCCACAGTTAAAGAGGAGCCCAAGGAGACGTCACAACTAAATGTAACGTGGTGCCCTGGGTGGGATCTGGGAACAGAGGCAGGATGTTACATAAACACCGACGTCGGAATAAATTGTGGACTGGAGTCAATGATGTTGTACCGACACTGGTGCACCAACTGGAGCAAGCGCACCTTACCAGTGGAGTACAGCAGGGAAAACTGGGTGCAGGGTACATAGGAACTCTGTGCTCTCTTTGCAATTTTTCTGTAAATCTAAAGCTGGTCTACAAAATTAAAGTCTGTTTTTTAAAAACTGAATTCTGGCTTCTCTTGAAAAACCCAAAGGTCTGGAGTCACTGGGTTCTCACTGTCTCAGGTAACCACCCCCCTTAGAGACCTAAGCAGTCCCCACCCCTCCCCACCGCCTCTTGCCTGAGCCATGCTCTCACTTCAATCACCTGCCTGACTCCTGTAGCCGTTTAAGTTTGCAAACATTCTTCTAGATCTAGTAGTATAAAATATAGCAACAATTCTGCTTCTTTTAAATTCAAGAAAATCTTCCCACCACACCAGAGATCGTCCAAAGGCACCTGTGCCCAGCGGGCAGCTCCAGCGCCCTGGGATTTATACATCCTGGGATTTATGCAGCCCCATCTCTGCTAATTCCTTTAAATAGAAGCAGAATCTTGTCTTCTTTGCATGCAATTATTTTTTGATTAACTGATTAAGCGATCTTTAAAAGGCAATTGTCTTCCTTGGCATGTGTTCATAAATGTCACAGCTGCTCCCAAATTGGTTGAAATCACAGCAGCGTTGAGGCAGCAGGGCCGCCGGGTTGAGCATCTGCAGGAAAGCATCTTGCAGAAGCCTCTACCCTAAGGCCAAGATCTGGAGAGAAAGTCAACAAGAATCCAGGTGCCAATACCTGACAGAGCCAAAACTCTCCCAGCAGGTTTTACAGCCTGAGCTGACTGTTCAAAGAACCTTTCCCCTCCCTTTCTAATGCTGCTGGAAGGGGGAAGATAAATATATGATGAGCTGCAGGTAAGTCCGCCAAAAGTCACTCATCCCCTCCACAAGTCCTTCAAGTGCATCAAAATACAGCCTTTTCT